TTTATTTAATTAAAACTTTATTAATTTTAATTTTTATAACTTTTAATTAAAACTATTATATTTACTTTATTTTATATTTATTTTTAATATTTATATATAATAAAAATATCCTTAAATAGTTTTAACTTTAAATTTAACCTTTTAGGTATAAAAGAATAAAAATTAAGTAAAATTATTATTTAAATTATAGTTTAATAATTTATATTAATATTAATAATATAAATAATATTTTAAGTTATTAAAATATACTTTAATAAAATTAGAATTAAAAAGTATAAAGGTAAATATTTATATTTTATACCTTTTATATTTATTACTTTAATTATTTTTATTTTATAATATTAAAAGGTATTATTTATTATAAAATTAATTTTAAATTTAAATATAGGTTTATTTTTAATAAAATATTCTCTTTTAGTTATTAAAAGAAAAACTTTTATTATATAACCCTTATATATTATAATAATAAGTAAATTATTTAATATAATTATAAAAGAATATAAAGGTAAGTCTTTTATTTAAAAGACTTTTAATTTATAGAGTATATTTAATAGATACTTAATTTATCTTTTTATATTATTTTATTTATTAAAATTAAACTTATTAATAAAAATAAATATCTTTATTATATAATTTAATTAATATATTTATTAGAGATAATAATTATAAACCTTTTATTATATTAATAAGTTAATATATATATTTATTTATTACTTTATATATAAATTTTAAAGATATTATTTATTATTTTATAATAATATTAATTTATAATTATTTAATAAAAGTATTATATTTTATTAAAATATAAGTTTAATTTATTAAGTAGAAAATCTTTTAGTTTTTAATTTATATAATTTATATATTAATTATACTTTATAATATTATTATAAAAATAAATTAATAAACTTTTATAATTTATTATTTTAACTTAATTATATTTTATAATAATAATAATAATATATTTAAAGTAATTATATAGATAGTAATAACTTTTTAATAATAGCCTTAAATTATTTTATAATAATATTAAAATTTAATTTATAATTATTTATTAAATAATAATAAGTTAAAGTATAAATAAAACTTTAATTATTAAAATTTAAATAGTAATAGATAATAATTAGTTATTATTAGAACCTTTTTTTTATTAATTAAGGAATATTAATAGATTAATAAGGGTATCTTATTAAGAAATATTAGAGTTTCTACCCTATTAATAAAGTTTTAATTTAACTAAGAAATAGAGGGTATTTAACCAGGGGGGGGCACAACTTCGTTTTTCCCAGACAGCGGGACCCGCATTCGACTCAACTTGTGGACCCGGGGATTCTGACGCAAGCTCTCAACCAGGCGCATGCTATCGTCAATTCGTCGCGAGAAGAACCGCGCAGCTAAGTCGTAGTGTGTCTGCGTATTCTCGTTTCTAAGTACGCCTTGCTCTCTCAGAGATTGCACGACACCATTGATCTCACAGGGCCCTGGGCCCCTGATCGAGACCCGCTTCTCCAATCTCGAGAGATATTAGAACACCTAGGTCGTACTAGTCGATAGCGTGCCAAAGAAAGGAAAAGGAGGGACCTACGTCGTCCGAGCAATGTTGTGCGGCAGGAGTAATGCACCGAAGCCGTCCAATTCTTTAGCAATTGCATCAAGCCGCTCCCCTGCATACGCAAGTTCTTTCAACAGAGACCTTACTGAATCAATCTCTAATCCGCGGCGTACACTGATATACTTTGTGAGAGGTTCCCTGGTAGGACTTGTGAAAAATTCGTTGAAGATTCTCCGAAGGTGATAGAGTTCAACGGTATACACTTGTCGCATTGCCTTGTGCAATCTTGTTGTCGGATTCGGCAGTCTTCTCAGATTATCATATAGTCGCGTGGCAGTATCTTCTTCTGGTCGTAGGGACTCGGGGTTGTCAATCTCAAATCTCATCCATCTTGTCACATCATCCCCGAACACGTCGTCGAAGTGGGAGAAGCCACTGGCGTGAAGGGTGTCCTGCAGGCTTTCTCGGAACTGGCGTGGCAGGCTGCTGTGTGAGCTGAGGATATTGCCGAAGAATGCTGAGAAATCGGCCAGGAACTAAATTAGGTATGTCAGATGAGTCAAGGACGGGCTTGAGGTGGCTTGAATCTCTACTCGTCAACTGGTAGGTGCCCACCTTTGGTCTGACCAATAAATGAGGGCTGATGCATGTGGTTTCTGTGTCGTATTCTCGACAGGCATCAAGCAATGCGCTTGCGAATTCCTTTGCGATATGTCTTTCCATCATGCAGGTATGTTTGAGCAGCTCACTATCCTAGGGTGCCCACTGCTGAAACCGTCACAGTAGGCTGCTTACCGAAAGTGAGTGATGTCTGGGGTCGATGAGCACCCAGGTTATTTATTTCCGTTCCAAATCCGATACCACTCAGTACAGGCTTGAATACCAGTGAAAAATGCAATCGAAGTAAACGGAATGTAATCATTGGAAGGATACATTTGGAATGCCTCCACAGCCATGGGTGACATCGTGCACACCTCTGTAAGCTGGAGCTGCCACCATCAGTTTGGAGTCAAGTTTCAACGTTGAGCTAGCCACCAAACGCTGCGAGTAGATGCTTCCAGTAAAACTTTGACTGGCTTCTACCCATACATGCACGGTTGAGGGGAAATTAATGCTACGGTATCATCTGCCAGAATACGAGCACCTCAACTCTTACATGGGGGCTGGCTATTTACCGACGCTTGCACAGCGAATAGAACCTGTGATGTATCGATGTCTCAGACGCAGGTGAAAAATCACCTTTCATTTCACCAGGACTGGTCACTGATAAGACACCCTGCATAGGTCGGAGTGGCTCAGCCATCCAGTGCCCTAGTTCCCTTCAAACAGACTACAATAGTTAGGGGTAATAAATATTAGTACAGCGCTATTACTACACTTATTTTTTTTTAAATTAACTAAAGCTAGTAACTCCTTAATTATATATATAACTATAGTAAATAAGAGTACTAATTTTAATATATTTTATTATATATAAATACTTTTAATATCCTTTATAATAATTAAAGTTATTAATATATATATTTTTTAATATAATAAATAATTAATTTAAAGTTTTAAATATTATTGTAAAGCTTAAAAATATTTTTATAATAGACCTTTTATTAATAATCTATTTATTAATTTATTATTATATAGCTTTAATAACTATTTAAAGGATTTTAATTATAAATCTAATTATAATAAATTAAATTTACCTTTTATACTTTTTATTATAAGAATATATACTTAAAGAAGATATTAAAAGAAATAAACCTTTAAGTTTATTAAAATTATTATTTAATAATTAAAAGTTTATATTATTTAAAGTAAACTTAAATAATTATTTTTAAATAATAAAATTAGTTTTATTTCTTTTAAACCTTATAATAAGATAAATTTAGATTATTTATAATATTAAAATTTATTTAATATTTTAAAAATATTTTTAAATATAAAGTTTAAAGTGTTTAATAAATAAAAGGCTATTATTTAAGCTTTTATTAAAGAAAAATTAGAGTATTAATTAATTTTATAATAAGAACTCTTATATTATATTAACTATTTATATAATATTTATAATTTAATTATTAAATAAGTTTTTAAGATATAAAATACTTTTATATATAATATCTTTAAAAGATTAAATATATTTAAAAGTACTTTAATAATTATATTAAATAATATAAAAATAAAAAATTAAATTATTAAATAATAAACTTTATATATTTTTTAATAAGATTTAAGTTAATAATACTTTATTATATAAATAATAGCTTATTATTTATAAAAGTAAAATTTAATTATATTTATTATAATTAAAAAATAATTTAATAATTAAATATTTTAAGCTTTCTTTTATAATAATATAAAAGAACTTTATTTTTAAAGAGAAATTAAAAGAATATTTTAAAAATAAGAATAGTAATTTAATTTTATAATTAAAGGTAAGTAATAAAAAAATAAAAATATATAAACTTTATTAAATATTATTAAAAATTTTATAAAAGTAATTAAATTTATAAATAATTTAAAGGATAACTTTAATTTAAATAACTTTAAGTTTTAATAAAATAATATATTAGTTTATAAATTAAAGGAAATAATAAAGTAAATAAAGGAAAATAACCTTTAAAAATAGATAATCTAATAATTAATTAAAAGTTTAAATTTTAACCTTATTAAATAAGCTTATAATATTTTTTATAATATATTTTAATTATTTTATAAAAATATATAATATTAAATAAAAGAGTATATTTCCTATAAAGACTTTATAGGTTAATTATTAAGTTAAAAGCTTTATAAAGCTATTAAGGAGATATAGTTTACTATTTTAAAGAAGTTTTTATAATAACTAATTTAATTAATATTTAAATAAATTAAGAAAGTTTTTAAGTTTGAAAAAGAATTATCTAAATATTAAAATTATTATAAGGATATATATATAAAGAGAAGTTACTTTATAATAATTAGTTTAAAAAAAAATATAGCGACGGCGCCGTGCTAACATTTATTACCCCTAACCATTATACAGATAGAAGTAGCTTGCTGCCTGCGTGCAACATAGGATAAGATTAGCTTCTGGAATCTGTCCAATCAAGCATCTTAACTTTGTAAAAGCCACACTGAAAAAGTAAATCGTCATGCCGAAGCTGCTCAAGATGTTTTTCTTGCCCAGCTCTATTCTACTGCCATAGACTAGTTCAATGTTTCTAGCGAGAAATCAAATGTTGTATGATATGTCATCATATGGGAGGGCAAGTCAAGATCTTACTTGGTTAAAGGCTATCCGAGTCCTGATTCAGAACTTTACCAGGTGCCCCAGGGTGGCTTGTTTGGGGTGGTGTAACAAGAGCAACGGCATCAAATAGATTGCGCTAATTACCTACAGCGACGAAGCAAACAACGTGCCCGCATATTCTCCGAGTTTTGCCTTGCGAAGCTCTGTTCTTTTCACATGAGACATGAACTAGTAGATCCCACTGTCACTAGAAGGCGCATTGGTCGCGTTAAAAGACAGGGCAGCCAAATCTCCCCACACAAATCCCAAGGAACTGCCAACAGTATGCGAACCATCCGACCAAGCCAGCCTGCCCCAAGCAGTCTTTCCCGAATCAGCCTCCGCGCCGGCTCCCGCCAACGTGGCTGTAACAACGAAGCTCTGCTGCTCCTGGCCCGCGGTGAATGTGAGCTCCTCGGGGTCAACCGATACCTGGACGAGGGCCGGGTCACTCAGCGACACGCTGACGCGGTACGTGCCAGCCTCGCCGACATTGGTGACCGTCCGCGTGAAGTTCACCGTCTTGGGCCCGGAATCGGTCTTGGTGTCGTACCCGACCGCGAAGGATGGGTAGTTGAGATCATACTGGCTGTAAGTCTTGTCGGCCGAGCAGGTGCTGTTGGTCCCGGTGATGGACTGCACATAGTCGGTGGTGGAGTTTAGTGCGCACAGGAAGTCGATGTAGTCCTCGGTCTTGATATCATATACCAGACCGGGGTCGAGGGCGGCTGCAATATTGACGTGGCCGTTTCCGTAGTCGAAGGGCGTTGCTGCATCCTGTGTGGCCTCGTCTGTGAATGTGGACGCACCGCCCTTGGTGTTCGTATAGGTGGTGGTCATCAGGGCGGAGCGGATGGCTGCAGGGCTCCATTCGGGCCTTCTTGCCATGATGAAGGCTGCCATTCCGCTCAGGTGGGGACAGGACATGGAGGTACCGGAGAGGATGTTGTATTTCACCCGGCGCGTGTCCTGAGGGATTCCACTCGTGCCAACGTTGTCAGGCCAGGCAGCCAAGATTTCGACTCCCGGACCGGTGATGTCGGGCTTCAGCAGGTCCGGAGCAGGGTAGTTAGGGCCCCTCGAGCTGAATGCGGCCATCACTGGGGCCTCGATGCCCAAGACGGCGCCCTTGATGTCCAAACCTGCCGTGGCACCCGCAGACTTGGCATATGCGATCACGGCCGCGCCGTCCTCTTCTCCTATGTGAACGGCAGGGAGCACATGCGTATCGGCCAGGATTGCCGGACCCGTCAGGTTGGTATTGATCAGGATCATTCCTGATCCACCGGCATTCTTAACATATAGGCCTTTTTCGACTCTGCCAATGTCGCCTCTCAAGCAGACAACAATCTTTCCCGTGACCTTGGCGGATGATAGAGATCCAGGTAGACATATCGCCGCTTCGGTGGTGTTGGTGATATTGCTGTTGGCCGCATCGCTGGCTAGGATAAGAGGGAGCTCTTCGAATGCGGGCAGTGTATTGTCTTCGTTGACAGAGAGGGACTTGCCCGTGAAGTTCTGTCCGTCACCGAGGACAACAGTGGCGGGGAACCCACGGTCTTGGGTGCTTGCACCCACGGTCATTATCCAGGGGACGTTATTTGAGATCGAGCCTGCGCGGGGTCCGTCATTGCCACCAGACATGGCGACAAATATTCCCTTGGCCATGGCAGAGAATGCGCCGACCAATATATCGTCAGGTCCCAAGGACGGCGCGCCACCCAGGGACAGGGAAGCCACGTTGATACCGTCTTCGATAGCATCGTCGTATGCAGCAAGGATATCTGCCGAGGCACACCCAAAGTTCGGCCAGCACACCTTGTACACGGCCAGGCGCGCCTTTGTAGCCACTAAGAAGCAGAAGTCAGCCACAGGATGCCTAGGGAAAAGCCACACTCGACACATGCAAGAAAGCACTTACTACCGCGAGCTGTGCCAGAGGCTTGTCCGTAGATGCTGGCGTTGTCGACCGCAGCGCCGGCTGCCGTGGATGCGGTGTGAGTTCCATGGCCCTCCGGGTCTCTCGCGGATTTGTAGGTCCCCGTGAAGTTATAGGCGGTCCCGTTGTTGCTGTCAATCCACGCGGCCTCGAGTGCCTTGGTATACCACCTGGCGCCAATGAGTTTCTTGTTGCAGTTAGCCGCCGTGAACTCCTCCCCTTCGACGCAGGATCCCTTCCACCGGCTGGGAATGGGTGGAAGCCCAGTGTCGTCAAAGCTGTCACTCTCAGGCCACACGCCGGTGTCGAAAAGGCCGATGATGAGGTCGGACTCGCCATCAGAGGTGGTGTTGCCCGTGAACACAGTTCCCTGTTGACCTAAGATCTCGGCCTTGTCCAACCCGAGAAACTCCGGGGTGTGGGTGGTGTGAAGCTGGTAGATCTTCTGGCGGCTGACGGACTTGACCCCGGGTTGGGCCATCAGCTCGCGAGCCTGGGCATCGGTGAGCCTCGCAGCATATCCGTTCATGGCTGAACTGTATGAATAGAGCATAGTGTCGCGGGATGTCACCGCCCGGAGTGAATTCTCATGCAATGAGCGGCGGGAGATTGACGACTGGGAAACAGGGGCCTCCATCTGCACGATGTAGGTTCTCTCAATGCCCTGTGCCTGGCCACTCCCAAGGAGGGCAGCGGAGAGTAGCAGTGCGAATAATTTGAGGTTCGCCATGTTTAGCGAGATATCCTCCAAGTTGAACCACACTAAGTGAATGACACTGTCTTTGGACAGGAACTTTTAGAGAGGGATAATGAAGGAGTGGACGGTTGACATTATGCGAGGCCCTTGGGCAGAGAAGGTCTTCGGAGACCATCTTATATCTTTTCCTATCTCCACCTGTCTTCATGAACTAACGGCTGGCCGGACCTTGGGAGAAAGCTTGTTCGTAGCCAGCACACAACATTGGAAGATCAGGCATGCTCCGAAATTTGCCAAGATTCCTCCGTACCCGGACTTTGGATAAGGTCTATGGAAATGTTGACCACATTGCGGAATAGCAGACTCCTCCAGCCAGGCACTGTGAGCTTGAAGGCTTCTAATAATACACGTACGGTTCATTAACGCTGCTAGATGGAGTCCTGCGTAACTCAAATTAAGTACGGACCAGGTCGAGAAGATTTTCACCCATGTACTAAGAAAAATTACCGCTGGCCGTCGAACCCTTTTCTATGATACAGCTGACACAAGGTTTACTAGTCGCCGATATCCAGGGGTTGATGCATGACTTGAATCAGGCGACAGACACCTGTGGTTCACGGGTAATTGCCCAAGAAGTCAAAGGTTCGGGTTAGAATTCCCTCACTCAACGTATTTGTATTCCCTTCTCCCTTTGGAATCTTCTTAAATTTGGTTTCGTATTGAATAACTTGCTCGTGGTCACCCTCCTGGTGCACCACCTCCTGCGAGTAAGCCTCCTAAGGCTACAATGTCGTCTACGGTAATCTACATATGTACTCCTCGGCAACCTCCAGCGGTGTATCTCTGTCCACATGAATAGGTATTTCACTTTGCTGTGAAATCTTTTAAGCGCGCTAAAACACCAGGTTAGTTTCCAGTCTCCAAGATGTGAGCCCTCAGAACCAGTGTATACACCCACCCTGCTAATCATACGTTATCGACTCTGCATCATTTCTATGCATGGAAGAACGAATGTGGAAAGTGCCGTGCAATTGAAAGGCAAGTGAGAATAACAGGATCTTCCAGAACACAAGGACAGGAAAATGGCGTTGGCATATCCTTCGATCAACGGCAAAAGGCTGATCAGGACACTGCATTGCCATGCACTTGAGGTACCATACAAATTGACTTGTCTCTCAGGAATGATGGAAGCCCTAATCTCCCTTCATTCATGCATGGGACGAAGCCCCTGCCCAGAAACCTGTTGCTCCGCTGCGCCCGATAGCCTGGTAAAGCTAAATGAGGGCGAAGTTGTTCTTCCGTCGCTGCCCCTGAAATCGATCAGGGGCCAAGCCCGATCTAGCCCAACTCTATCTGAGGCACCGTACTACCCTAGACGATGATTGCCTGAGGACGACACGCTCGCTGACGGCCTGATATCTGAGGCAAAGTAACAGGCAATGGACTGGTGTGCAAAAAGCTTTAACACGCGGGCACTTCTAACTTTAGCCAGTGCTCTAATTAGACTGTGCATGCCCCGACTTTGAACACGTGGAAAGCCAGTGTCGCAATGACAAGGAGTAACAAGAAATGCACCTCGCATTCGCACTGGGATTAGAAATGCCTGTTTGTAATCCTTGGCCCCATATATGGCCTCGGATGGGTTCGGCCTCGGAACCTTGGAACGGCCATTCCCTGTCGACGTCCACGCTACCTTGGTGAGCGGCTCAAATTCGAGCCGTCGGCGTTCTGGTGCCGCCCCGGTCGTGTCGGTGCTGGCCTATGTACCCCGTAGGCTGTCCCCTTTTGGGCAAGCTCCCTCATGCCGGTGCGCGTCAACGACTTCAGCCCGAGCGCCCCAGGTTTCCAGTGCGGCGCTTTAGATCCTCCACCTGCGCCGTCAGATCCATCGCCTCGTCTCAGCAAGGCTATGTTAGTTAAGGTTAGTAGTAAGGCGGCAGTTCAGCGGACCAATACAATGCCTAGTGTCTGTAGCAAAGTGCGCTTGACCCAGATGAGAACCATTCTGCGTCGCGGCGCGTGTTCATGCCAACCAAAGGATTGGTCATCCTGAGTGACGAGGATGCCTGATGGTGATCTCATGGAGTTGGGACCGCAATGTTCATAAAACCCCAAGTGGCCGTTGTCATCAACTCGAACCTCATATTCTTCATCAGAACACTCACAGCATATCAGTTTCAAAGTCGAACACAATGACAGCAGGAGACTTCAAGCCCGTCTTTACGACGACCAACTCACCCGTGGAAGAAAGGCCACCTCCTGTATTGCAGGTAAGCCGATAGCCCACTCTGCTCCCCGGTCAGCGTGCGACAATTAACCAAAGCCTTAGGCCTCCTTCAAAGACTCGTTCAAGCTTCCTACGCTCCTGGCTCTCGGCGCTCTCGTCCAGACCGCAGTGATCGCTGTCCTTCCCGCACGCTACTCTTTGTTCCCGTTACTGCTTCTGCTCGGCCGCGCCATCATATCCACAATCCTTCAAGTCCGATCCCCAAAAGACAGCCACTTCACGCTCGACGTGGTCCCCGGCCGCATGTCCGCCCAGCTCCCGTCTCGTACCACCGGAGCGTTCGGAACCAAACCCGCCGCCAAACCCCTGGTCGTGTTCCACATTGGCGTACGCTTCAACCACCCGCTGGGACTCCTCAGCCCCGGCGCGAAGGAGATCGCCGGTTACTTCGCTGCCATGGTCAAGGAGCTCGAGCAGCGCCGCGACGAGTTCGGCATGCTGACCATCACCAACTGGAGGGGCACAGAGCGCAGCACCAATAACACCCTCATGAACGTCGCGTACTTCCGCGACGTCGACGGCCTGAACAGGTTCGCGCACGACAAGGTCCACCGCGACGCTTGGGACTGGTACCTGCGCTTCGCCAAAAAGGAGGGCAACTCGCACATTGGGATCTTCCACGAGACATTTGTCACCCGCCCTGGAGACTACGAAACCATTTACGTCGACTGCCAGCCGACCTTGCTGGGCGCTGCCAATGTTCAAGTCAACGCGGACGACAGTGAGAAGGTGAAGACAGAAGAGAAAGAGACGTGGATCCGACCGCTAGTAAGCGCCAATCACTCGTCGCTAAGGAGCCAACAGGGCCGCATGGGCACTAGACTTCCATTTGAGGGAGACGCGGACATGTACTGATGATTTTGACAACTGAAAGGGGGGGGGCAAGACGTGCTGAGTGTGATATTGAGAAGTAAGAATTTACCAAATCTGGAGGTCGTAAGATTTCTCAAATTTCTAGCATATTATATGGAGATATTTGGCAGCAAGGAAAGAATGTCGTGATTTAAGGTGTAAAGGTAAATCAAATGAGTGGAGGGGCATCGCATATTAGACATGTCATAATAAAAATCATATTGCATTTCAAGTTAGAATAGGGGTGGTTTCGTTCTTAATCCCCACATATATGGCGCCTTTATACAGTGGTAAATCTTTAAGACCCAGGCATCAAAAAAGAAATATATAGTACTAATAACAGTAGAAAGAGAATATAGTATGTGGGCACATAGCTCAGCCTCATGCCGCACAGATAAAAGTTGGAATAGAGGCTGGCCTGTTGATGGATAAGTATGGACTATGAGCCTTTCCTTAGTACATATTCTTCTAAGCTGTAGTACGTGTTGACGTGACCAACGCCGAAGAGAATTCACGGGTCTAAGTGCGCAGAGTGTGCCCCGCGCCTAGTCCTTGGATATGGCCCCTTATAATGGATCATATAAGAATACCACCCACCTCTTTAACATTTATGGGTGAGATGCGTCTTTGGTTACGCTGAACGAGAATACGGCCATATAAGAAATTATTGGATGCTATCTAATGTACCTTAGAGGACTTTGCAACGGGAGGCGCGACTGCTAGCCACACGCCTTCTCGTCCGGCCAAAAGACCATAATGACCAATCTGCGGATTGGCTATTCCTAGCAGTATATTAGTACCGTACCGTCACTGACTTGTGGTGGCGTTAAGTTTGGCACAGTCTGCTCACCTGGATGCCTCAGGCAGCAATCACACTAGTAGTTAAGATGGTAATGGGCTTCACCAACAAATATTGTACAATTTGAATAAAGGCATCATTAATTCGGGTCTGGTAAGGGCCTCTTCAAGTGCTAAGCATCCTAAGGTAGTTTCGTTGGTGAGCTACACTCTTTGGTGTGGTGCTGAGGCGGCTTTTCTTTGCAGTTTTGTGTCCGAAGACTTCGGCTAGTAGTCATAGTTGAAATATTCACATGCACAAATGTGTAGTGCTTTACATTACTTCATCCTAAATTGAAACTATGAAGGCACTTAAGAGCCTAGTCCACTGGTTTACGTACTATGGGGGACCTTTGTGAAGTTTGCCAACAAATTGGAAGAAATGGAACTTTCATATATTCAAAGGTCTCGGGCATCAAACTAGCCATCCCTCGACTTTTCAACTTTCCTCATCCACATACTTTCAATTTTCCGTTCAAATTCAACCGACTATTCAAACGATTCCACCATGCCTCGCCTCAGAGATCTTGCCCATCGCCGCGAATCTTCTGCGCGACGCAATAATAACACTAATAACTCTGGGACAGCGGCCGAGACAGGCTCTGGTGCCGCACTAGTGCGCGAAGACGAGCACCCACGAAGCCCAGAACAAGAGGCTGAACATGGCGTCAAGTTCTTCAGCGAGCTAGGGTGTCCTAGGCAAGACGAGCCCATTCCTGCGCTGCGCTTGCTTGCGTGGAGGCGCAGGACCATGACCATGGAAGACTACTACAAAATCGACTGGAAAAAAGAAATCAATTTGCAATACTTCCTACGATGCGTTGAGCCTGAGGCTTGCTTTCTTGATTTTCCCCGCAAGAATTGGCCAGTTCCGATTGCATGTCCCAAACACAGCGTGGGGACGGACGTGATGTGGCGCCGGTACCGCGAGGAAATCAGAGAACGAGCGGATGCCATTTTCGAGGCCGAGAAAAAGGAGAGAGAGGCAGCAGAGGCGCAGGAATGGGCGGAAGAATGTGCTCGCATTGAACGTGCCATCGCCGAGCGTCCTACCTTGTGGATGCGGGACAAGCTCTGGGAGCCGGTGGGGCCAGGCGTCGCCCGCATCAGTGGCTCTTTGTTGAAAGACGTGGCCACTTTCTTCTGCGACTGCGATATCAGGATCGAAGAGGACAACCTCGTGACCATAAACCGCAGCTACAAGAAGGAGGGCCGGGAGATTGTCGCCCTGATACAGGATGAGAGTGACGAAATCATGTGGTCCACGGCAACGCAGGTCCAGATGAAGATATCCATCGACAAATTCCGCCAGCCACGTCATGTGGATAATATGGAGCACCCTGGCCACGCGGCCGTGCGCAACCCGAATGGACGGTACGGGAATGCCATGTGTGCGGTTATCCTATATCTCGGAGAGACAGGCCAGCCGGCCCCCCAGCAGATCGACGACAAGTGCTGCTACTGGCTCTACTGTGCGTATGGGTTCAGGAATCCGGATCTATCGAAGATTGGAGAGCTGGCCTCTTTCCGCATGGTGAGGCTTCCCAAAGTCTCACATCACGGTAGTATTGACTTGATGGCGCGCTTCGGTTTGAAAATGGGAAAGAAGAGAACCAAAGCCTTCTCCGACGGTTTCCATTACAAGGTCAAGAAGTTGGAGGTGACTTCTGCGAAATGGGATGGCTTTTTGAAGTGGGTTGAGTTACCGAGAAGGCCAGCGGGCTCCATCGACCTCTGTGACGATCCTGGTGTGGACGATTCTAGTGAAGATAGTCCTGGTGACAAGGATCCTGGTGACGATAATGCTGGCGAGGACGACCCCATGGAGGACACAGGGAGTGAGCATGCTCACGACCCAGACCCTGATCTTTCTTATTTGGTCGACTTGAACCTGCCCGACGAAGATGAAGTCGAGGACGAGGATGAAGATGACAATCGGCCACAATGGCCAATCCCCGGCAGGAAAAGCAACATCCCCCGCCACCTTAGGAGAGGAGGAAAGGCCTGAGTGGGTCTTCTCTTTCCATGATGCTTTATACCGGACTATCGCAACGGCAATGTATTACGCAGCGGAAATGTATGGAATCTTGTGCTTTAATAAGGCTTTTCGAAACAAATAGATTGTGTGGCTTGGGTTTTATTTTTGTGTTGGTTAAGGATAAATTTGAAATAAAGAAGCGAGGCGTGGCCACAGATTGGATGATCCACAGGGCCCAGAAGTTGCAGATTGAATACCTCGGGAGGGAGCGGGCAGTCGGGGGTAGGCTCCAGTTTTTCGAAGCCTGCACGACAGAATATGAAGGGATATCGGTTGTTATTTCCACCAGTCTTTTTGTTCCAAGAGAATATATACATTTAGAAAATGACCTTTCGCTTTCTCCACCGGACGTCTTCGACTATGTGAACTTTGACATTTCAGTCTTCAGTAGGATTCACGCTCTGCCAGTGTTTAACTGGCAATGTTTAGCATCCATTGGCGATGGCATCGGCATAGAGAGCGTAGCTGCAAAACTTGTCAGTCCCCAGGTTAATAAGTCCTGATTAGGAGGAAGCAGCACATACTTGTCGGCGTTGGTGTAGGCCCTCGAGGCAGAGAGAGCAGTCGACGCGGCGTATCCATACGCGTGGTCGGTGGTGCGGGCAAGGATGTGGGTGAACTCGTGCAGGACCGTCGAGGCCTGGCTCTGCTGGCGGCAGCCGGTGGAGACGGGACGCAGCCTCCAGAAGATGGGGCACGAGGCCATGCGGCCCGTCGCGGGCTGTGCGTAGGCGATGGTGTTGGAGGTGCAGACGCCGAGGAAGTCGACGCACGAGTAGGAGCTCGACCCCGAGGTGGTGGACGCGGCCTCGGAGGCGAACGCCCTGAAGCGGGCCGCGACGTTGCTGCGGGTCGTGGCCGACGTGGTGCGGAAGTACTCGCTGAACTTGGCCGAGGAGCCGCTGGCGGCTGCGTTGGCCGCGGCGGTGGAGAGGCGGTTCGTGGCGGAGACGGCGTTGGTCAGGGCCGTCAGCTGGGAGCCGGAGCACGACACGATGCGGGTGCGCTTTTCCAGGGGGTTGGTGTCGATGCTAACTGCCTTTGGGACGGCGGCGGCGACGGTCTCCTCGACGTTGAATTCCAGGGTGTTGGTCTGGAACTCGTAGATCCCCTCGAGCTGGGTATTGTGAACACCTGCGAATGCGATCTCGCCGTCGAGGGAGACGGAGTAGTCGCCCCCATTGATGGCATCTAAAAGGCTCTGGTTAGCTGACGTTCCGCGATGACATGTTCCACACATCCGGCGACTTACATAGAGCAGGGATGTTGACAAGAGCCTCTGCAGTCTCACCAGGGGCAAGGGTGATAAATGAGTCCTCATCGAGGTCCTCAGCCGAGTAGTCGATGATTAGACCCAGGTATTCGACGTTCTCACCTTTGACATGTTAGTTAAGCATCAGTAATTTGAGCCGGCTATGTTCAATTTCATACCATTTTGGGTGACGTCGAGCTGCTGAACGGGGGCATTGTCTAGAATAGTGCCGCTGGTGAACAAGTGCAGAGTCTCAGCCCCAGTGTTCGACACTGTTGCCTTGACTTCAGTCTCGCTTGCCTGTGAAAGCTCGACAGACAGGCCCTCAGTTCGCCTGTTCCTCTGGTGTGGAAGGGCAGAAACAAGCAGAGGGGTGGCCACCAGGGCGCTCAGAATCGACTGGACAAGCATACTGGAAGGCGAGGTACAGCAGGGCAAAGAGATGACTTGGGCTGAGGAGGCGCAGATGATCTCAGGATGAGGAACCTCAACAATTTCGTCCCATGTCGTCCATGAGCATCATTATATATTGGGTATTCGAAAGCTTCATTCTCATATGTTTGTGACCGTCTCGGTCTCTCGGCCAAGGGCCACTCCCAGTGGTACACTATGCGCCGAACTCCTTACTCTATCTCTGGCACGGCACCGTTCACGTTCTCCTATCCCGTTAACTAAGAGCGGAGCCTCTCAATGGAGAAGGTCCCGAGCAGCCTTGATGGTGTCCCCCATATAAACACAGGAACGATCGAGCGCATTATTTCCGACAGGGCTAAGCCTCAAATAGAAGGTGCAGTGGAAATATGGCGGCAGATATGGTCCTGAAATGTCAAGAGACCTTAAGAGAACAAATGCAATTCGCAGCCGTGATCGCTCCTGAAGCTTGGACGTGCTTGGGCGTGCTTGGTATTGCTTGGGTTTGCGACCTCAGCATAGAGTTGATCCAGCGGATTGGTGCCGCGTTGGCATTTCCACCTAATCTCCGACTTGTTTGACTTGGAGGCCGATTAGTGGGTCTTGTCAACAACGCATAGAAACAATTGAGATCGACCGAATTGGGCTAAGCCACGCACTGTCGAATTAGAGTATTCGAGGGGGGCGTGCCACGGCGACAAGGCTCTCGGCATGGCCAAGACATCAAGCCCAAGAGGCTGGGCAACTCCTATCAACCGCGGGCCTAACGACCCACCCAATCCCCTATTCCCGCGGGAGGAGAATAGAATTTATCCCATGCCACCTTCCATCTTTCCATAGACTCTATGATGCATCGAGGCCCGGCAGACTGGGATGGCAGCGTCACAGTATGAGGGGAAAAGTGTGTCAACAACTTTATCCACCTCATCGGAAGTTCAGACTTTCGGGATGATTCTCGGCAACAGACCAAAGCCCCTCAGCGTTGGGCGACGACGGCCTCGATTTGATAAATTTCGCGTGTACAGCCTCATCAACGTCTCCGGTGCTCACAAAAGACCTGAACTCTGACTCAGTTCAGCGGCATGCGTTGTGATTTCCGAACTGGACATTACACTGTTCTCCTCTCCGAAAGAAGCGAGGCTGTTTCTGGTCCTGCCAAGGCGTGCCCCAGGATTTGGGGCGGGACCTCCCGAGTCTGGGCACGGTCCGGTCGTTGCTGGTAAAACCATACCGGTATGATCTCACCGGGGAGACTTGCACCGAATTAGTTTCCAAGAGGAAGACGATCACTGGCAACAGAAAAAAAAGAATAGAGCCATAAGGAGGTCTTCTAGGATGCCCGATGATTGTGTGCATATGTTGCCTAGGTGGTTGTCATGATGAATGTTTCCCTCAAATGGCTATCATGATCGAGAGGCAGGGAAGAGATGGATTGTCCAGGTGCAACAAGTTGCCAAAGTCAGGCTGTGACATTCTCACTTACATATTCCGATACCCGCACGTCTAGATAGTCTGAGCGCTGCTTACAGCCAGGACACGCACCTGCAAGTGCCCCTTCAGCAAGCAACACGATGTGGCAGAACACAACATTGGACCAAACCAAACAGGCTATACTAACCACAGCCTCCCACTCTCCCTCCTAGTCTCCGACGCGACCAAATATACACTGTCCCTAAGGGATGAATCAGTCCTCTGCCATAAAGCAGGAGCAGCAGGCTGGCAAGCCCCCACGACCAGAGCAAGGCCAATCTACGCGCCCAACCATTTCGAGGGACTATTTTAGTCTCGCCGTATGACTGCTTTGCCGGCTATTAGCCCTTGGGCTACTTGCGTCGACGATTCTAGTGAGCGGCGCCGTCGGTAGCGATGCCTTCCAGCCTTGTCTGTGCGGTACGAGGCTGAGCGATGTGCCCGTAGACGAAGCACTATATTCTTTCTCCACTGTCATTGGCACTGTATTTCTTCAAACGCTGGGTCTTGAGCGTTTACCACTGTATGAAGGCGCCACAATATATTTTATATGTATGGGGATCAAAAACGAAACCAACCCTACTACGCGCCCAACCGGCCCGAGAATCTGGCCGTCTCAGGCGGAGCGGGGGAAGATGCGGTCCAAGGCGCGCTTAGCCAGAGGACGGATCAGCAGGCCTTGAATGAAGGGGATGGATGGCGTTGGGATCGTTGGATGAGACGGTGCAGCACTGATGGGGGCCGGGCGGTTATGGTGGTGGCGATTATGGGGATTTAAGGTTGGTCTTGATGCTCTACGCTGGTCCTGGCATGCCGCCGGGAAGGTCGTGATGCTCTGCCGGGGCCCGGGGGATGGGGGATGCCGGCGAATGCGCGGGATTGTTGATTAAGGCGAAGGATTTTGCTTTAGTACGGTATCATGCAATCATAAATTGGATTCAAACATGTCCGTATCTAGTATTGATGACTATGTCTGCGCAAAATTTAACCCGAACATAATATACCTCCTACTCGGAACCGCCAACAAATTTCCAACATCTCGTTCATCACTTCCCACCCTTCTTCCCCCTCCCCTTAAAGGTCGGATGCCCCCTCGGGTCCCGCCTCAGCTCCTCCATAGTCTCGACATGCGAGGACCCCTCGCCCTTCTCGATCTTGAGGGCCTCGATAGCCAGCTCGGCATACCGGGCCCCGCGCTGGTCATACCCCAGCACGTTGAAGTTGAGCGCCGCGAGGATGTACGCGTTGGCGACCCGGCACTGGAGGCGCTCGTCCTCGTACAGCTTGAGCAGGTACGTGATGAGCCCGACGGAGGCGTCGCCCGACGCCAGGTCCTGCAGCTGCCCCTCGATCCACCGCAGCTCCTTGAGGCGCTTGTCGGACTCGGCGGCCTCGTCGGCGGAGGCGCTGCAGTGGGGGCACGCGCACGCGAAGCCCCAGTGGGAGCGGGCGCGGTCCTGCCTGTCTGCGCGCGGGGCCAGGGGGTCCAGGTACGTGATGGTGATCTCGTCGCCGGCGGCGATGGGCCGGACGGCGGTGGTGATGTGCATGAGCGTCGACTGGTCGACGTAGTATGCGGCGTTGGGCCGGCAGTCGTGGTTCGTCTTGCCGACCTCGGGGAAGGCGCCGTAGTGCTGGCCGTCGTCGCCGCCCAGGTCCAGCCGGAAGGCGTTGGTGGTCAGGCGGGCCGCGACGGGATGCTCGTCGGGGTCGTGGGCCATCTGGCTCATGAAGAGGTCCGCGGTCTGCTGGGGGAGTGACGCCAGGGCCAGGTCCAGCAGCCGGTGCTGCCCGGCCTGGTCTGGCTCCTCCTTGAAGCCCTGGTGGACGAGGAGGACCGGGGTGTGGGCCATGACGGGGTCGCCGCGGACGAGAGGCTGTTTGGCGATAACGCCATTCCCTTTGCCCTCGACCTCTGCAACGAGGAAGGGCAGGCTGTCGTCGTCATTGTTGAACGACACCTCGAACTCGTGCAGGAGCTGCCCGACCTCCCTGAGCCTGGGGAGGTTCTGGGCGGTGGTGATGGCGGCGAGGCCTCTGCCGCCGGCGAACCTTGAGCTGTTGTAGAGGCAGTAGTTGCCGACACAGTCGTCACCACCAGTCCATCTTGGGGGCCCTGCGAGGCTGTTGACGATGTCGGTGAGGTTCTGCTGCCTGAGGACGGGGCAGACAAGATCGGGGGGGATCAGGCTCCACCAGCATACATCGGAGTTGTCGAAGGCGACTTGCTCATGGACGAGAGCGTTGGCGACCGGAGGAGGAGACACGAGAAGCTGCAGAGCTGCCAGCAGCAGCAGCAGGATGGACAGGGGCAGCGGGCGTGAAGATGCAGCAGCAGCTGGAGGTAGCATGCTTCATTGAGGCTAGCTGACCGTCTGCGAGGGCCGGCGACGCTGATGGCATTCAAGGGTGTAGAAGCTTGTCTTGGTGCTTGGTTGCACGTTGACTTTGTTGGTGCGAGGGCAAGCAAGACCAGGCCAGTCTCTGCCAGCCTGCCAGTCCCAGCCAAGCAGGGGTTTGGTCGGGCCGGGCTCCCCAAATGGAACCACGTTTCATGGGTGGTGGCTCGACCAGCTTTGGGGAAGCTGCAGGCCACAGGATCTGATGGGCGCCGCACAGGGGCGGGGATCTGCGTCGAGTGGAACATCCCGCCTGCACCCGCCCGCACCTGCCTGCACCCACCTGCAACTCATGTGCCGGCGACCACCAGTCTGACCTGCATATTTGGTGTGTGTTTGTACCTGAACCTGACGTACGTTTAGCCAGACTTCTTAAATTGCAATTTTCAAAGGCAAAGAACCTAGAAGAATGAAAGGATGGCTTGGCCCATCGACCATCGACCGACGCCTCCCTCAAACGACCCCACTGACCGACCGACTGATTGGATTCTGCATTCTGGCAGGTGCGATTGTGGAAATGCCATGATGACGTAGGGATGTGCTGCGACCGGAGCTTTTTGGCCTGGGTGGCCCGTGCTCAACCTCGAACCTCGACGCTACATCTAGCGCTACATCTTTTGGGGGTACGCTAGACATTTTGCATCTTGTTGATTGCTGCTGTCTGCCATGCATCCTTGTACGTACGCATATGCGTGCGTCAATGGATAAATCGGGACGATGGGTATCTTATCAAGAGCCCATAGATGGGAGGCAAGCTGCGGTTGACGCCAGATGCAATCCTGTTTAGGTACGTAGGTACGTATCCACCTAGGTAGGTACCTACTTTAGTGGCACCCGCATGCAAGATGCACAATCCCCATCCACCGTCTTATCTCACCCACCTCTTGTTACCCAGCTGTGCGGTACCGTTCTTGGTGCAGCCATGGCGTCCTGGTCCTGGGTCGCTGTGCTCCAGTCGACTGGTCGCCCCTCGCCGTTCCATCCGACCCGTCTGATGTTGGCTGGGGTAAAATGGGGCCAGCACAGACTCTGGTGGTGCTCGGGCGTTTCAATGCTTGTTCCTTCGATGGGGGAGGACCAGGGTACAGACGCATGCGGAAAGCAAGAGCCATCACCGCCCTTCCTTAGACATCTGTCGAAGCCGAGATGCGCAGGACCGAATACACCTGCTTCCTGCTGGCAGGGTTGCATCGGATGAGCTGCCACCTGCAGCACCAGCGAGGCAAAAGCTTCGTCCGGCCGGGACAAGCAGGCATGACCCATCCAGCCTCAGCCCCAGTCTGGCAGTCTGGCAGTCTGGGCATCAGCCTTATAACACGGCGACACGCGGCATTACCATACCGCATACAAGTCATAGTGACAAGAGCCATAGCCACCATGTTCGATCACAAGTCTAGACCTCCAAGCTCAGCATATCCCTGGCCACGACGCCATCCGCCCAGCACATCCACAAGCTCCTTTCCTGGTCTCTGCCTGTTCGAGCACTGCCGACTAGCCGTCGGTCGGCCTGCGTCATGATTGCACGGATGCACCTCAGCCTCTGTGCTTCCTTGCACCTGCACCTGCACTTCCCTCGATTGGCCTCGCTCTGACACTGTGCGATGGGTTTGTGTTGCTAGCCCTCCCATTGAATTTGCCTAGGAAACTTGTTGGGATGACAGCACGACAGCACAACGAGTGTTCCCTCCTCCCTGCTGGCCACATGTAACCCTAGTCGCCCCTCGTGCTCTCGTTCCGACTTCCTCAGCCTCTTCTCAGACTACAGCCCACCAAGGTAATTCTTTCCTCCTCCTTCTCTCGCCCCCACTTCGCTCAGCACAGCGTCTTTCGTGCCTTCCTAGCATTTTCCGGGCTTTATTCTCCGCTGTTGCTAGTGACGTGCCTCTCCCCTGTCTCCTTCCTCCCCACCTGGGCAGTCTTGGTTTAACCCATACCAAGCATCTCTCGTACCATTCTATTTTTCTCTCCTTCAACAGTCGTGTCCCCGACACTTGGCACTCCTTTGCATTGTTTTCTGCGTCATCAGGTTGGAGCAGTCTGTTGCCCAGGAGCTTGGGTTCAACTCAAAAGGCATCTCAAGCGGCTCGACGCTCGGCGCTCGACCCTCGATGCTGGATCTGGCAACTCTCAGCCACAATTTGCTCGCCACTGCCATTATTTGTATTTCACATTTCTCGCACCGCAAGGAATAATGTGACCGTATTGCGCGATCCTGTTGCCCACCATACTGGCAATCCCTCCTGGCTCGGACAATCTCACACAACCTGCCAAAAGGCGAAGGGGTAATGCGACAAAGCTACACTTGCATCGTGACCGCGTCACTACAAGAACCAGCACACTCTCGATTGTCCAGCCCTTGACTGCAATATCCGTTCTAGAGACGCTGGCGGTCCCGACGAGGCGTTTTTTGCGTATCATCTGGTCGGCCACACGTCAGTCGAATCGGTCGATTTCCTCTTGATTGCTGTCTTGGCCCAGACATCTCCGCCATCATGTCAAGTCGTCGACACTTGAACTTCTTCATCGTCGCATGTCTCTTCACACTCTTCGTCATCTTCCTACGCGTCGATTTGGGGAGCAACAACGTCGCAAAGCAGGTCAAGGGGGACGTCGAGACATGGGTCGAAGGCCTGCGTGATCCAGAAAAGCCGAAAGAGAAACCCAAACCAACCCCGAAATATAAACCGACACCGACCTATACTCCGTCCCCTGTTCGAGACCCATTTCCCCTCCTGGCAACTTCGACGCCGCCTCCTGTCCCACGATGGAACCAAGCCCGAGCGAACCTCCACAAGGATTATGACCTGCCAGTACCACCTCCCCTGCTTATCGGCTTCACGCGCACCTGGCCCATCCTCCTGCAAGCAGTCGTCTCGTATATCACGGCAGGATGGCCACCCGACCAGATCTACGTTGTTGAGAACACCGGCGTTCAAATGGCCAACTTTCGTGACCAGCTGTCCCTCCAAAACCCCTTCTACCTGAATCACACCCAGCTGAAGAAGCTGGGCGTCAACGTCGTCCAGACCCCTGTCCTTCTCAACTTCGCACAGCTCCAGAACTTCTACCTGTCTATGGCCAATACCCACAGCTGGCCCTACTACTTCTGGTCTCATCAGGATGTGCTCACTCTGTCGTTCGAAGAAGGGTTTGAAGGGGTCACCCCACCCTATGACAAACCCGGCTACAAGACCGTGTACGAGCTGGGCTGCCAATGGCTCGATGAGGCGCGCAAGAATGATAGTAGGTGGGCCGTACGATTCTTCGCATACGATCACCTGGCCCTGGTGAATCCAAAGGCGTACGAGGAAGTCGGGGGGTGGGATACGCTCATTCCTTACTATCTGACCGACTGCGATATGCACAGCCGGTTGCTCATGTCGAATCTGAGCATGATCGATAGACATGCAGGAACCGTCACCGATACCAGCACCGCACTGAACGATCTCATCGCTCTTTATCGCGACCCAAACGTTGTCCCCGATTTCACGGACCCCAACCCACCTGCACCGGCCCCAGAGCCAGACACCATATCAAAACGCACGCCAACTCCCAAAAGCACCGAACCCGAAGATCCGAATCTGGCATACTACCACTCTCTCCGCCACGTGTCTGACCGCATGTTCCACTACAAACACGGCGACCGAGGTCGAAACACCTGGCAGCAGGGACAGCACGGCGGGGTGGGGGAGCCGTTCTACTACCCGGCGGCCGGCTTCGCGGAGGCGATCGACGTCCTGACCGAGGCGGGGCGGGAGGTGTTCCGCCGAAAGTGGGGGCACCGGGACTGCGACCTGATTTCGGGCGCGGGCCTTCGGCCGGGCGACGCATGGCTCGTCGAGAAAGATTGGTCGGACTAGGTCCCCGGCCTGCGCCGGTCTAGGTGGAGCCCGGAGTGGAGCGCGGTCCTGGGGTCCTACGCGCACGGCGGTTATGGTGACGGCCACGGCTAGGGGCTTTTCTTGGTGGGGGTGGCCTTGGTAGTCTTGTTTGGCCGGGCAGCCGTCCTGCGGCTGTGGCTGTGTCTGAGGCGGCACGGGCGCCGCATGCTGTTTGTGTTGTGGCGTTGGGGGGGCGTTCATGTGCGGGCCCGGCCCTGGGACGGGTCTCTTGCTGTGCGAGCGGGGATTCGTGCGGTGACTTGCTGGTTGGTCCGTTTATTAGGTAGTTAGTAGTAGCAGTAGTTTGTTTGAGTGGTTCCGCGTCGCAATTTGTTGGGTTTATGTGCCTACCTGAGTAAGTAGGTACAAGCAAGCATGCCCGAGATACCATTTTCAATAGAAGCGTATGAGCGTTGTTCCGGAGTCTACACTGACCGAGGGCCCGGAGCTGTTTATGCTTGTTTGGAGGGGGGGGGGCATTCGTAGGGCGTTGATGGATGTAGCTGGGGGAGGACTTGACGGCATGGGGAATAAATGGGAATGCCTGGGCATCGTGTCCTGGGTTGAGTTTCATCGGGCAGCAGGCTTGACTGCGAAGTGAGCGGATGTTGTGGGTTTCGTGGACATGGGTGCGGGTTTTGTTGGCTCGGCTCGGACGGTCTCGGTTGGGCAGATCTGTCTGGACTCAAGTTGAAGGAATGGGAGGGGGCCAGGTCACGTCGCAACTTGTGTGTGTCTACTCAGGAACTCAAGCATCCCATGGGCGGCGATCCAAGCGATCCCAACGTCGACCATCATGGATTTCTCGGTAACTCGGAATTATTACTCAGGCCGCTGGTGTTACGTCCCCGGCACCACCCGCATCACGGACTACCAGGGCTGGCCCCTCGCTCAGCTGCAGACGAACAACAAGTACGTTGCAGATTCCACGTTAAACCAATTATGTTGGTGGGGATCTGATTTGTTGATCCGTTTGCCAGGAGCTGTGGAACTCCTTTCTGTAAGGCCTTTTTTATTTTGGTGATGTTGGGATCGCGGGCTGGTGGGGGTTGCCATGTGGTGCCTGTGGTAGTAATTGTTTGTTTGTCAGGTGCCAGCTCAGACTTGGAGCCCCTTGAAAGGAGCTTTGGCCCTCGGACTGGATGGGTGATGTGAATGTGTAGCCTGGGTAGCATGCTGTCTGCTCACATCAGGAGCATGTCATGAAATTACTTTGGCAGCTTTTGGCTTTGGAACTTGATGTGTGACTTGATCATATTGTAGGTCGGGTCTGAGTCTGTCTACAAGAGTGCTCACCTTTCCGCACACAAGTATCAATCTGTAGTTGTCGTCGTGAAAGCCTTGATGTGCTCGTGAGCCTCGCTTAGAGCTCTCTTCCGTTTGGTCTTTTGGTAAAAGCATCCGGGCAGTGTCTTCATCAGTCTCCAGGGCTTGCTATCTACTTGATTAGGTAGATTGATAGCAGCCCAGTACCCTTTAGCGGATATCTCCAGGTTCTTATGGTTATTTTTGACGTGGCTCTTTGTTTGTTTGTATGACATACACTATGCCTGACTACCTAGGTACAAAACTGCCGCGATCCGAAGCTTGCCTACTTGTGAAGGGCTGTCTTATAGGAACCATGGAGGTTGTTTAATGGGAGGTCTTTGCGAAGTTGTTTGTTTGCGTTAAACGGCCAGGCCTTCGATTTCGACCTTGCTGACGACGCCAATGCCGCCCCTGTAGGCTTCGCTGGCAACGGATTGGTTGACTGCTTCATGCCAAGGCACACTGCACCAGAGCACTTGCTAGACATCGCGATCTGTGGTCTGATTGTCTTTATTGAGGTTGTCCTATTGAAGATGGCATTGTCTGGGTTGGGGGTGCGGGTGGGGGCAGACACTGCAACCGAATATAAAACACCTGGGCACCCACCTCCACACTTGTGCACAGCTCGTCGTGAACATCAACAAGCCACCAGCCATATGTATTAGGGGTCAATCACTGTCCTGCAGCTTTCAGCATCTTCTTCCCCTTCACAAACGCCAGCTTTCAGATGGAGATTCTGTTTTCTTTTCCTGGTCCACCTGATACCACCCATGACAGACACTAGAGCTTGGTCGAACTACTCAGCCGCGCGGCTGAACGCAAGGCTCCAGCGCCTTGCCTATCTATACCTAGGTACAGATCTCAGCCGGGCTTCGTCCTCCCCCCAGCTGAAAACCCCCAAGCCGGAGAAAACCACCAAATACGTTTTCGCAACTCCCTCCGTTGAAAACTTTGACGCTCTTGCAAACTCTTCTTCTTGGAAACCTTCAAAACCACCTCTTTCGACGCTGATCACAACTCACTACCACCCAACTGATTCCCTTCGTTTCCCATCTCTCTCTCTCCATCTCTCTCTCCATCTCTCTCTCTCCATCTCTCTCTCTCCATCTCTCTCTCTCTCTCTCTCTATCTCTTTCGCGATATCTCTCTCTCTTTCGCAGACCTCGACAGCAACTCCTCAAGCTGTTGGGGATACACCTCGCCGTCTGCTTCGACAGACGTTGCATGAGAACCTACTTTCAGCACCCACTGACGACCTCGCCCGCTGGCTTCTCTCAGACCAGAAGCGAGACGCGATCTCCTGATAGGTAAGCAGCAAGATTCATTTCCTCTAGAGCCCATCGCAAATGTCCTCACACTCAATCCTCACACTCAATCCTCACACTCAATCCTCACACTCAATCCTCACACTCAATCCTCACACTCAATCCTCACACTCAATCCTCACACTCAATCCTCGCCCTCGATCCTCACCCTTAAGCCTCACCCTCAAGCCTCACATTGGAAACCCAATCCTCACACTGAATGCCCAAGACTCACACTCAATTCCCAAGACTGACGCTCAATTCCCAACCTGCTTTCAGCACCCATTGACGACCTCGCCCGCTGGTTTCCCTCGTACTAGAAGTGAGACGCGATCTCTTGACAGGTAAGCGAGATTCATTCCCTCATCGCAAATATCCTCACTCAAGACTCTCACTCGAGACTCACTCAATCCTCAGACTCAAGCCTCACACTTAAGCCTCACACTCATTCTTCACACTGAAAACTTAATCTTCACACTGAAAACCTAATCCTCACACTCAAAACCCCACTCCTCACACTCAATGCCCAAGACCCACGCTCAAGTCCCAAGGCTCACACTGAGTGCCCACAGCAGTCTCTTGTCTATCACTGCCACCGGTGCAGTCAAGACTGTCTTGAACCAGGTTGGAAAACCCATGCCTGTCGGCTACACTGAGTGCCCACTCCAGTCTCTTGTCTATCACTGCCACCGGTGCAGTCAGGACTGTCTTGAACCAGGTTGGAAAGCCCGTGCCTGTCGGCTACACTGAGTGCCCACTCCAGTCTCTTGTCTATCACCGCCACCGGTGCAGTCAGGGCCGTCTTGAAACAGGTTGGAAAACCCATGCCTGTTGGTTACACTGTCTAGACGGTTGTCACACAGAACGAAGACAAACATGTCGGAGGCCGTGGTCAAGGACGAAGCCTACGCAACCCTGGACCAGCTGGCCCACAGGGGCCAATGCAGAGGAATCTCGGACCGAGCGGACGTCCTGACCGCCCTCATGGAGGACCAGGTGACAAAGCTCTTCACAAGGGCGACCCCCTGGCCAGAGGAGACAGAGATCGGCGCGCTGAGGGCGTCCGAGAAGGGCATCGAGTCGCTCTTCTTCATCATGCACCTCCTCCTCTGCGTCGCGGCCGAGCACCCCGAGCACGTCGCCAAGGCCAACGCCACGATCAGGGACCTCCAGGCCGCTCGGGCTGTGCCGCCGGGACACTTACTCTCCCCGACGGACACGTTCGTCGCCCGCAGCCAGGAGCGCCAGGAGCTGGGCTACCCCCCGTACACCCACGTCGGCAGGCAGAGCAACGTCACCTCTGGCGGCTTTGACGGTGTTGGAAGGGCTGGCACCGTGGCCGGCACCGTGGCCGGCACCGTGGCCGGCATCGACGGCGGGCAGAGCAAACCGCGCCTTCATGTTCATGGAGCTCTTCCTCGCGCCCGGAGCAGAGCCGGCACCAGCCTCTCAGCCGGGACGAGGTCCTGGAAATGCGCCTCGCCGCCGACCACAAGTCCTCGCTGCCGGAGTCGGACCTCCTGCAGCCCATGCCTGGCCTGCCGGACTGGGCAGAGCACGGATACAACATGCTGCTCGCGCAAGACGGGCCGTACCAGCCGTGATTTCACACTCGGAGTCGCGTAGTCATGGTGACACCGGGCCATGCCAACGCCACTTCAGATTCTCCCTCTGCAGTGTGGTAGAAAGCTGCCGGGCTGCAATCACTCCTGCCAGCAGCCACAGCATGGAGACTCCGAGTGTGGCCCATGCAACCAGCGGTGTGGTGTATGCTGCCCACACAGGCAGTGTACAATGCCTTGTTCTGCAAGGTGGGGGGGGGGGGGGTCCACGAGTTTCCGTGTGATGTTCTCGTTTTCTTTTCGGCCTCTTCGACTTGGGGCAGGTCTCTCGTGCGGCGAGGCTGCCACGGCGGAGCCTGGCAGAAGTTGAATGCTGGGCCTTGAGCGTTTACCACTGTATGAAGGCGCCATGTACGTCCTTGGGAGCCGCTTGGAACCCAGCAGACATCCCGGTCCAGTCCCCCGCCGCCACCCGCAGGGACTTGCATCTGGGCCCTATGGACATTCAGCTATTCCCGCCCCGGCGTCGAGGAGGAGGAGGAGCCCCGCCGCGCCGAGGTCAACCTCTTTCGGTCTGCCTCCGGAATGAGAGCCGGTTGGAACCGAGTCGCCATCCTGGTGCGGTCCCCCACCGCTATACCCACCGGCACCCGCTGCCTGGTCCTGCAAGAGTGTAAGCCACACGAGGTGGCGGGCATCTACCCGCAGGGACTTGCATCTGGGACCTATGGACATTCAGCTATTCCCTCTCCGGCGTCGAGGAGGAGGAGCCCCACCGCGCCGAGGTCAACCTCTTCCGGTCTGCCTCTGGAATGGGGAACCCAGCAGATATCCCGGTCCAGTCCCCCGCCGCCATGCCCACCGGCACCCACTGCCTGGTCCTGGAGCAGTGCAAGCCACACGAGGTGGCAGGGATTCACCGCGCCCTCGGGCTGGGCTACTCGCAGCACCAGCGGGACCAGGTCGAGGCCATGTGGCTGGACGGCCTGCGCCCTCGGGCTGGGCTTCTCGCAGCACCAGCGGGACCAAGTCGAAGCCATGTGGCTGGACGGCCAGGCCCGCGACGGGAACGGCGACCCGGTCCACGGGCGCCTGCACATATGGTACACGAGCATCCGCGCGGCGCAGGAGGCAAAGATGCGCTGGTACGCCCCTCGAGGGCTCATCTGCGCGGAGGCCCGCTTCTGGTTGGCCACCATTGGCCTGCCTTGTTCTGAGAAGATAAATTTGTTGTAAGATAAAGGGAATTTGTATCAAAAAGAAACATATTCATGGAGGAAGTGTGGATCAGATCACAAATACTTTTGGGAGATGTGGCCCTGCTCGGACGCGCCGCCAGCATCCGCGCGGCCCAGGAGGCGAAGATGCGCTGGCCCCCACTGGAATACGAGTGGGACCCCTGCTCCAACTCCCCGCCGTCGCTGATACTGAGCCTCGAGGAGATACAGGCCGGCGAGGTCGCCATGTTCAAACACAGCCACCCGTTCGTCAACCTTATCGAGGTCAACCAGGACACCATCTTCGAGGTCAACCAGGACACCATCTTCAACGCCGTCATGAACGGCCTCGTCGACACGACGCGCGTGTACTGGCGGCCAGGATGCGCTGGTCCCCCCTGGAGTACGGGTGGGACCCGTGCTCCGACTCCCCGCCATCGTCCGGTGCGGACATGCCACCTACTGTGGCCGGACGCGGCCTTGCGACCGCGGCGCCCACCGTTGCCCCTCCGAAGACTGCTGTGAAGAGTGTCGCCACCGCCAACGCCCTTTGGAAGACTGCTGAGAAGGCTCTGACCACCGCCGTTGCCCTTCCGAAGACTGCTGTGAAGGGTGTGGCCACCGGAAGCACCCTCCCTCAGACTGCTGTGAAGGGTGTCGCCACCGGCAGCACCCTCACCCTCATGCTGCGACTCGAGGAGATCCAGGCCGGCGAGGTCGCCATCTTTCAGCACAGCTACCCCTTTGTGAACCTCATCGAGGGTGTCAACCGGTCAGGTTCACTTCGCGACTGGCTGGTTCACGGCAGCGCCATTTCTATTCATGGCCTGTCCGCCCCTCGAGTACGAGTGGGACCCGTGCTCGGACTCGCCGTCGTAGCTGAAGCTGCGACTCGAGGAGATGCAGGCCGGCGAGGTCGCCGTCTTCAAGCACAGCTACCCCTTTGTGAACCTGATCGACGGTCTCAACCGGTCAGGTTCACTTCGCGACTGGTTCACGGCAGCGCCATTTCTATTCATGGTCTGTCCGCCGGCCTCTTCGAGCAGCCATGGGGTGCCATGGAGGTTCGACAATTTCGGTTTGATTGGCCTCTGTTCAGGTCTCTCCCATCGAGGAGGCCTGGCTGGTCGACTGTGGCCCTGATTCACCACTCAGCCTCGATTTCTCGGGCACCTGATGGCATCATTGTTGGGGTTCCAACAAAGATCACATCATTATCCATCGTGTTGCCCGGCCTGGCTGGACCACACACCCTCATGTCGCCGTAGGCCGAATAGCCTCCCGCCATCATCTGCCCTGGATGCTGTGTGGCCTGATTCACCACTCAGCCTCAATTTCTCGGGCACCTGGTGGCATCATTGTTGGGACTCCAACAAAGATCACATCAGTATCCCTCGACGTTCCCGGCATGGCTGAGCCATACCCCCCCATGTCGCCGTCCCGGTAGGCCGAGTCACCCCGGCATCACCCGCCGTGGCTGCTCGACTGTGGCTGATTCACTCCTCGGCCTCAGTTTCTCGGGCACACAATGGCGGTTTTCTTGGGCCCCTGACTTCTCTCCAGCATCGTCTGCCCGGCATGGCTGAGCCCACTTCCCCATGTCGCCGCAGGCCGATGAGCAGCAGTCAGCGTCTGTCTGCCCTGGCTGCTCGGTTGTGGTGGTGACCTGATTCACCACTCAGCCCCAGTTCCTTGGGAATCCAATAGCGACATTCTAGGGGCCCTGGGTTCTTTCCCTTCCAACAAAGATCCCATCACTATCCCTCATGTCGCCCGGCATGGCTGAGCCACACGCCCCCATGTGGCCGCCGCAGGCCGATGAGCAGCAGTCAGCCTTACAAGACAACTCCATTCCCAGGATCTCAGGGACCCTCTGCCGAGGATTGTACAAAGGTTCACTCGATCCTTGTGCAGTCAGCCTTACAAGACAACTCCATTCCCAGGATCTCAGGGACCCTCTGCCGAGGATTGTACAAAGGTCCACTCGATCCTTGTCCAGGAGGGTTGCCCTGGCTGCTGGGCTGTGGCATGATTCGCCGCTCGGCCTCAGTTTCCCGGGCGCATAGGAGCCGCCATTCTCAGGGCCCTAAGTTGTTCTCACTCCAAGAGGGATCTCAACCACTATCCCTCACTTTTGCCCTGGCTGGCCGAGTCACCACCCGGCATCATCTGCCCCGGCTGGCTCGACTGCGGCTTGATTCACCACTCAGCCTCAGTCTGGGGGGGGGGGGGGAAAGGGAGCAAGCAACAAGCTTGGGGCCCCTGATTTTTCCTCCCTCCAACAGAGATCACATCACTATCCCTCATTCTCCCTGGCCTGGCTGAGCTATACTCCCCCATGTGGCCGTAGGTCGACTGTGGGCTGATTCACCACTCAGCCTCACTTTCCTGGGGACATGGGAGCAAGCAACAATCTCGGGGCCCCTGATTTCTCCTCCCTCCAACAAAGATCACACCACTACCCCTCATTCTCCCCTGGCTGGCTGAGCCGCACTCTCCCACGTCGCCACAGGCCGATGAGCAGCAGTCAGTCTGCTTGGGCACAGAGGTGCTCCACAACAGCGGCTGGGGGAACGGGGGAGACTGGGTGGAGCAGGATTTGGGGGTTTTCTTGTTCAGCCAGGACGTGGAAGCTGCTGTTGGAGGGATCGCGGGCCGACCTGGAGAGGATGAGCGGGGAGAAGCACGGTGCCTGGGTCGCTCTGGTCAGCAGTAGGCAATGCTCGCCTCGACGTACCGTTGTCAGGGTCCCCAGAGTTACTTTCGACCGTCTTCGTGGGTTGAGTGTGGCCTTTGGCAAGAAGAGACTGCCTGGAGAGGTTGTGAGTCGCCTGGAGGGGGTGGGGGAGGGATAAATAGAAAAAAGGGGTCGCAGCGAAAAGCTTCTTATAACACTGTATCAAATAAATGTGATTCTAATACGAAAGGGACAACTGGTATGCCAATGAAACCTATCCTTCAACGCCTCTCGGTATGGTACAGTCCAAAAAGCAAGTAGCAGGCACGCAGTACGCTATTTAGAAGTTGAGGCCGGGCTGTGGCCCCAGAGCGTCCGAAAGTCCTGCCAGGTATAAAGCTGATAACCATAGTAAAGAAAATACACAAGACGGGCGGGCTGTCGCTCAAAGCTCGTCATGGATGTGCTTGACGGGCGTGTGGCCCTGCAGGGGCGTCTCGTGGATCTCCTCCCCGGCGCCCATGGGGGCCTGCTCCACGCCTTCGTGCTGCCACGGGTGGTCAGTGTCGACGGGCTCCGTGCCGTGGCGCCCGTTCTCCCTGACGAACTTGACCATGTCGCTGTGGGTGCGCGGGCCCTCGTACGAGATGGGGTTCGCCTTGTCGTCGGCGCGGTAGAGGCGCACCCAGGGGACGTAGGGGACGTCCTCGGGCAGGTCGTTCTTCATGATGTCCATCTTGGCGATGACGACGTGGGAGCTGCCCACGCCGCCGCCGTAGGTCTTGGCCAGGGCCTCGTACACGGGGCCCAGCGCCTTGCAGTAGGGGCAGTCCTCGCGGAAGTAGTACAGCAGCACGTCGCGGGTGCCGTCGAGCACGATGTTGTCGAAGCTGTCGGCCACGACGGTGGTCACGGGCCCCTTCTGCTCGGGGATCGGCTCCGACTTGACGACGGGCTTGAGGCGGCCCGCGAGGAAGTCGTCGGCGAAGCGGCCGATGCTGCCCGCCGACAGGGCCTTGGTGCTGCCCTGCGTGGAGAAGGGGTGCTTGGCGCGTGTCGTGCCGTCGTAGATGGCGAAGGCGGGGAAGTCCTTCTCGGCGCCGTTCTCGAGGTGCAGGTACCCCGCGAAGCCGGCAAAGTCGGGCGTCTCGGCCGTGGCGAAGGTCAGCTTCCCCTTGAGCTTCTTGGCCAGCGGGCGCAGCTCGTCCATGACGGCGCGGCGGTCGTCGTCGGTGCGCGAGAAGATGAAGGCGGTGGGGCCGTTGGCGCCCGAGACGTAGCTGCGCCAGGTGCTGTAGCCGAGCTCGCCGATCAGCGGGGTGTAGGTGGTCTTGGCGAAGGTCTTGATGGCCTCGATGTCCTCGATGTCGCCCTTGTAGACCTCCTTGCCCTCGCCGTTGGGCTCGTACATGACGATGGAGGGGAAGCTGACGCCTGCGGCGTGGGCGGCGGCGGGGTCGAAGGTCATGCCGATGGGGAAGTCCTCGTGGAGCTTCTCGGCGGCCGCCAGGAGTGCGCCCTTGGCGACCTCGCTGGACCTGTCGAAGTAGCCGATCAAGACAATCTCCTCCTTCTCCTTCTCCAGGAATGCGTCATGAATCGCCTTGGTGGTGAGGGTGTTGACGGTGGCGAGCACTTGCTTCTTGACGAAATCAACAATTCTGAGTCTGGTCAGCCAGCTATTCTCAGTGGGTCATGTTCATATGGACTGCTGTCGTTTCTTACGCAGATGACCTCCTAGGGCCTTCATATTCGTGATACAGCTCACGGCCCTCCTTGAAGATCTTGAGGGTGGGGAATGCCCTGATCATGTAGTCCTGGCAGAAGGTGGAAAACCTCTGGCAGTCGATCTTGGCGAGCTTGACGTTGATGTTCTGGTCCCTCAAGGTCTTGGCAGCAGCCTCATACTTGGGAGCAAAAGTCTGGCAGTGCCGACTGTAGCAGTGGGTTAGCATGAGAGAGACTACGGCAGCTGAGGACAACAGCTTCTCAGGGAGAGGCTCACCACCAGGGCTAGATATCAGGACGTCAGCAGGTGCTCATCGTAAGAGGCAGGGGTCCCCATTAGGAGGGAGAGGGAGACTTGGGGCGGGCACGTACCGCATAGAATTCGGCCATGACCACCTCGTTCTCCTTGATGAAGGTCCTGAAGGTGGTTGGCTGCAGCTCGACGGCCGACTCGGTCGCAGGGTCCTCGGCAAGGGCTGATGCGGCAAACCCGAGCAAGCCGAGGGCGAGGGTTGTGAAGAGCCTCATGGTCACGGGGGTGGATGTGGATGTGCGTCGTACAGACGGTGGAGATTGTTATGGGGGTATGGAGATGTGCAGACAACGACAACGAGCTATAAGAGAAAGAAAGGAACGACAACGAACGGTCAGAATGGGGGTGCTAGCACGACACGTGCAGCCGCGAGAAGTGAAGTGAAGTCCAGTCGAGGCAAAAGTCAGGGTCAAAGAGGGAGTGAATGTGAAGGTGAAGCGTGATTAGATAAGGAAACAAATAGCCTTTGAAGGATCGAGGACCAGGTCGGGGTCGCGGCGGGCGGGCGTGGACGAGATTTCCTCTGGGGTCGGTCGCTCAGGAGGGATGAGACGTGGCCAATTTCCCGTTTCGGCCCCAATCTACGTACGGCGGGCGCTCCGTCGGTACGTACCTCAGCACGCTTGCGCAGCCTCCGTTTCAAACCTCGCACCCTAACCCTCAACTGACCCTTGATGCAGACAGAGTTCTGAGTGACTGTCCAAGAAATTGGATCCAGGACGGGCACATACAAGTTACCACATAAAAACTCCATGTCAAATGCATGCATATGGCCCACAAAGCGGTCGGCGTTGGCAGGCCGAAGCGCGGTCAAAGGTCGCCGACACGCCCATGAGGGGGTCCCCTAGACCCCACTATGGTGGCCAACGGGCGCGGCTAAAACCCCCGTGCCTCCGTACCTGCCTCATCCAGGGTCCCGAGGTCGAAGGCGAACGAAAATAGCATGTCGACCCCCACACAGCCACGACCCGCTGACATAATCGCTCTCCTGGTTGATCAACGTCGCTCGCTCTGCGCAGAGCGACTCACTTATCAACGCCAAGCCGCCTCAAGTGCTATGCTATGCTCTTCCAGCCGACAAGCAACATAGGCGTTCAGTGTTCCTGAAATCGCGGTTGCTTGGATATTACTGCGTAGGAAAAACAACCATCGTATCATTTGTGCTGTCCGACTACAATTCGCCATGTCGCAATGTTTAAGCATATTAACGAGTTATCCTTGAGCGGAGCGGAAGGGCAATGAGGAGCTACTTAGATAAGTTTTCTCTACTCTTACTGCGAGACCCGATAAAATGTTTCTCATATAGCCGTTCTTCTAAATCTGATTCTCATATGAGGGTTAGTCAATAAGTGTACTATTTGAAGTACTGTACTACCCGGGAAGAGAATCATAAGGAAGTAAGTCTCGCCTCAACTGCTAGCTCGCGCTCCAGGCTAACTCCTCGCTGTGCTAACTCACCTAGGTAGACATTCCCTAAGTCTTCAACTAAACTATATAGTTTCGCTTCTATTCTATATATATCTAAGGATATATATAACGTTTTTATATAAAAATAAGTATTTAAAACTTAATATTTAAAAAGAATATAATATTAATATTAATAATAATATAATAAATACTTATAACTTTAACTTTATAATATATAAATAAAGTTAAAAAGTATTATTTTAATAATAATATTAATTATAAATAAAAATATCTTATAAACTAATTATTATAAAGAAGTTATATAATAAAATTAAGTTTTAAAATAATCGTTATATAAATAAATTATATTAAAAGAAACTTAATTAAAGATTATCCTTTTAAATATATATATATATATATATATCTTATAATTAAACCTTTATAAAATAAACTTATAAGGTCTAATATTATAACTTTTATTTAAATATATAACTACTAACTTTAAAAAGAATAAAATAAAAAAAGATTTATAATATACCACCCCTAAGATTTTTATAATAAAGCATTAAAACTCCTAAAGAGAGTCCTAGAAGTGATTTGCGAGAAGATAAAGGGAGTCAGCCAAACTATATTTGAAGTACCCGGCTGAGCCTACGAGATCCTCACTAACTATTCTTAGTAAGTAGGCGGCAGTTGGAGCCAACATTTCTCACTGCGTGACATTGTATAGATTTAAACAGAAATAATTTTGTGGCAGCGACTAGTGCAAATACACTACTAATCTTGACCGAGGAACTGAATTACGGAGTATTTCTCATGGATTCTCTATCTACGGTAAACTCCATCATCCAAAACAGACACGATTGACTGAGTTGATTGCCGAACTTCGCGAAGAGTGTGACAACCTGAAGCTGTGGGAAGCAATCCGGCCCTGTACTTGCTTTGAGGCAGCATTTCGTCGCCGTCTGGGTCTTATCCTTGAGGGCCTGACTCCTTAGGACATCCGAGCCAAGTACAGAATGAGCTCAAAGTTCAATAACAACGCCTTGTCGTTGAGCTACAGAACAGATACGCAGCAACTGCAGACAATGTAGACAACTATATTTGCAATGAAGCACAAGACGTCTTTCTATATGTTCCAGCTTGTTGTCCAATCTCTCTTGGAACGCCTCACAAACGGGGATCGTGTTCGAGAGCTTGAGCGTCGATTGGCCGAGCTCCAGCCGGGTCGTCAAGAAATTCATGTCATAGTATTGGAGGATCTTAATGCTCGATAGTTGGAACATGCATCACAGCTGTTCTAAGCGGTCCGGGCCCATTGCAGCTCACCAACACGTCTATGCCCTGTCTTTACTGATCTGGAGGACACCCAAAAAGTACTGAAAGCGCGAGACAGGCCCCTATCTCCTGCAGAAACCCCTGATATGGACAATAACACGAAATAAAAGCTTACCAGTTGGTGTCTGGGCCTCCTGGGTACGGCCTCAAGTGGCAATTCAGTCCAATACAAGGGTGCAGTGAGTCCTGGGGGTGCTGATTTAGGATTGCAGTAACTTCATCGCAGTGTAAGAGACTACATATTATATCGAGGACCCTGAAATCTGAGAATGACTCATACTTGCCGAGAAGTGGCCTTTAGACCCCCACCTCGCATTGTTCAAAGCGTACCTCATGTGATTGAATCAAGACCATCGATCACAGACGGTGAGCGCCTTTCTGTTTCGGGCCCTGACCGCCATCACACATGATTGCCGGTCCTGAGGCGCACGTGAGCACCAAAATCATGGCAGAACTAGGGATTATCCACCTATTGGACAGGCTGCGCAAAGCTTACTGTTAATTGACCACACTGAATAACGATTCTGGTCCTCGTTCTTCATCTCATAACTGTACATCATGATGGGGCCAGGGAGTATCTGAAATGACGAAATCATCCTGGGATCTTGACTGTGATTACAAGGATAGAACACCGCTCCCGCTTAAATTACAGCCTTGAACGGAGATATGTCACCTTCTTCGCACATGTGCCTCCATTCCCTCGCGCAGATACTCGGTTCCTCAAAGTCATCATAGACATATGAGGCGACTGCCACACGAGATAGAATTGCACATCTCGTGCATGATTCCGAAATATTGAACAATGCCCCCGTGCTGGAGCTGTTCCGGAAGTATTGTAGATAGCCGCCCGTCAATGCTTAGGAAATGCACCAGCGTACCAGCATCAAGAGACATGATGATACTGATAAGTGATCAACAACATCAGCCCAGGCGGTCTACGGTAAAAGAGAGAGGGCAAGTATTCAAATGTTCAAAAAAAGGGGCGACGGGCCCCTTTATCTCTTTTTTTTTGGGGGCGGGGGTTTGGTTTCTTTTCTTTTTTTTTTTTGTGATCACTCCGAAGACGGCCGGCAAGCCTTCACAGCCATCGGCGAAGCGCAGGAAAGTACCAGGGGAGCAATGACAGTGGGAATGACAACTGAATGAAATCGAACCCACATTCTTGACTTCTGCAGCCAGCTCACACACACATGTGGGCTACCTGCCCTTCCCCAGCACCCACGGACTTGGGTGCAGGTATGCACCGCTGTCATCTACCTGCACCATCTCGGGGCCTAGGGAGTCTTTCCCACAGACCAGAAAATCATGATGAATGTCACAGCGTCTTTCCGATGAGCGGTCAGGAATAATATGGAAGCTCGCTATTATGTGTCGGTGTAGTGTTAGGTCTCGAACAAGTGAGCGAGGGAGCAAGTAGAGTTGCGGCGGCTGCCACCCAATGCATGATGACTCCATTGCGGTCCAATCCTACCTAGGCCCGCCATAGATACATAAGTAACCAAGTTTGTTGACCAGCGGATATCAACAAACGTGTAGTGTGGCACGGCTCACTTATCAGCGAAGCATTCTAAGATGCAGTATGTGAGGCCCTTTGTTGTTGCAGTAAAATTTACACTCAAATGTCTCATAGCACTGGCACAGGGAAGGGTCTGGACCCAACGGGTGTCATGCGTTAATCTAATTCATTCAAATATCTGGGTCGCATGCTCCGTAGCTGCAGGAAATGATTAGTACGGGATGCGAGCAGGGGACATCAGGTTCAGGATCCATGCAGATGTCGCTGCCAGCCGTCCTAGGTACTAGTAAGCAGCTGCACCCGCAGCTGGTTTTCTGCATGCGTACCTATGACCCAGCTCAACTTACTCGAGATTCTCTCCAGACCTCATCCCGAGATATCCAATAATGGAAACGAAATATTCATCAGTTCTGGAATTCACAACCTCAGGAGGAGTCCAGGCCTAAGAGGTCGGCCCGAAGACGATGTTTGTAATTCACCTGAGCACATATAACGTGGCTGGCTTGTGAGGGATAATTGCTGATATCTTGTGGAGAAGATAATATCACGCGAGGCTTGTCTGCCAGGTACCCTGATGAGGCAATCCTCTGGGTTTCGATTCCGTCAACGTCGGGTCAACGTCGGGTCTACAGGTGGGCTTACTCGATCCATGGCTCGTGCAAACGCACGTTCGTACAGAACATTTGGTTCCGAATCTGCTTGTCAAGCCGCTAGTATGACACGACGAGCTCCCCACGAGACATGTGCCACCGTCAAGAGATTTTCAAGATCTACCCGATGGGCTGCATCCCCGATTTGGCTACTATATGCGCTGGCGTGAGGACTCGTCTAGCCAGCCATTCACGCGACTCGTGACGGAGAGCCCGACAAACTAGGAAGCAGTCGTCATGCCATCGCCCAGCGTACCCGGGCGCACGGAAGGGCGCGTCGGAGAGGAAATCCTGCCCGATGAAACAAAATAGCCACCAAGAGTGCTCAAACGATTATGATCACCACTTAAAATTGGCGGACAAAGCCACAAACCGTACTGAATTGCGACGAAATAATTCCTATTCAATGGCGACGAGACGGTCCTACTCTCTATATTAATATCTCTGACTCCATGTTAATTTTCACGCCGGCGGCGTTCAGACAGCAAATAATAAACAGTAAAAGTGCCACAATGATCTCGTGTAAGTCCCGGAACATCAATACCCGCGGCCACTGCCAAATCAGACCGCCGTAAGCCTGTCCAATACGGGCCTAGACAGCCTCGAGTCAGAACTCTGGCTTTATGCTTTGACACTTTGCCTCAGATACGGAATAGCCTGTAGCTGCCTGCTCGAGCACTCAACATGCGAGTCATACCGGCGCCAACACAGGTGCCCTCCCCCGGCTGAGTGGACACGATGGTAAGCGGCCCCGTCTCGGGAAACCTCTTGCTTCCCCACAGCCGTGAGCTCTGAACGCGTCTTGGCCGGGAAGCTACATCAGACGCCCCGCCAATCGAAGCATAAACAGTAGGGCCATGCGGTGCGTCCGCGGCGGAACCATGCTGCCGCATGCTCGGCGCGCCATGTGTCCCGCCTCCATTGTGTGGCCGGGAGCTGTGGGCCGGATGGTACCCTAGTACACTAAACGGCAACAACCTAGACTAGATGGCAACGCTTGGGAAAGTTCCATGGAGCTGGAGCTGAGAGGTGCACGGCGCATGGGATGGTTTATAACAGAGCACCCAGCCCGCAGGTCCCCAACTCCGCCGGGCCACTTGTCGTGTCTGGGCCCCCTTTCGCTCTCCACACACCGAATCCACCGGCGACCTGAGGGATGACAACTTTACCGATTCGCAGCCGTGCACCCTTTGATCTGGGAAGGCGATCAGCAGGCTGCATTGCTTGCCTCTCCGCACGTCCGTAGCCATGGGGTATGTGGACCGGAGCACCAGCGTCGAGGAATTGGACGACTACTCCGGCCACAAGGCCGTGGTTGCTTCGGTCATCTTCTTTGTCTTGACTTCGGTCTTCCTGGGACTCCGATTCTACGCCAAGAAGCTCATGCGCTCACAATCTGGCTGGGACGATCTAATTCTCGTGGGTGCGTATATGTGCAACACCGGTTCATGCGTTGTAGTCATTGGTATGTGACCCTAGCTTACTACCGGTTTGATACTTTTTTCTCTTTTGGTTTTACAAGGATGGACTTGTGATTAATATCGCTGTGTATAGTGATGACCAAGGTGGCCGGCGTGGGCCATCACGAGGACTGGGTCATGCTCACCAACCCTACGCAGATCGTCCGCTGGGCCGAACTCGTCCTGATATTGGAACTCCTCCACTTCGCCGGAGTGGCCCTGCCAAAGCTTGCGATACTCTTCTTCTACCTACAAGTGTTCAACTGGGGGGGTAGAATGAGGGTGATGTGCTGCGCGACAATGGGCCTGGTGGTAATGACCTGGCTGGGAAGCACGCTCGCTGCCTGCATGCAGTGCAGGCCGCTGGCATTTTGGTGGGACAAGAGCATACAAGGAGGAACATGCTTCAACGTGCAGGCTTTCTTCCGAGGGCAAGGTCTCACGAGCCCCATCCTGGACGCGGTCATACTCATGTTGCCCATGAGGTCGATCTGGGGCCTGCAGTTGCCGGAGCGAAAGAGGATCGAACTTATACTGGTGTTTAGTGTGGCAGGCTTTGGACTAATAGCATCCATTGTCCGCGTCCAAACATTTTTCGAGACCTCTGCATTTGTAGATCGAACCTGTTGGTGTCCTTTCCCCGGTGCGCCTATTTAATATCTGGTCGGTGCTGATCTAATGAACAGGGGCATCTGTGGACCTGTGCGGATGGTCCATCATTGAGGTTGGGACATACATTATAACAGCATGTCTTCCGGCACTCAGGCCGTTGGTGCCGCTCTTTGCCCCGACACAACTGCTGGCCAAAGCCCGGAAAATGAAGACGGTCTCAGATAACTCCAACCCGACCGGCAAGGACCCGATAAATAACGATCACAGCGATTTCCCTTCAATGGTCACGCATAATAGCCTCACACAAGGACAGTTCAAGGAGTGTGGGCACTGGGACGGGGCACACCAGGACAGGAGCATTGAAGAGCCTCGCGGTGGACAGCATGACGAAGAGCAGGCGCACGAAGAGTCGTACGAGGAAGAAGTATCGGAGAGAATAAATTGGGAAAGTGATGGGATTATGACAATACTCGTTACCCGAACTACGCAAGTGACCGTCGACAGGCTTGGTACGTTTGACCGACCGTGGGAGCATTTGGGCCCGTCTCTCGGAACCCCGACAATCATAAGCGGCTGAGCGGGACGACGGATACGATTGAGGTACGAACGAAACGAATTATTAATTCAGCGCACTGCTATAAATATACATTAGCAACAACACAGGCAGCAAGGCCTGCGAGTGCTTCCAGCCGCCAGAAAGGAAGGCCGTCGAGGCTCCAACGGATACTTGCAGCGCCGCTACTATTTACCACCTGGCCAGTGGAGGCCAGGACCTTCTCCCCGGTCGGGTATCGGATATTATACACAGGATCCGACGTCAGCTCGTCCTGCGAGCCAAGCATGTGATCACAGGTGGGCTGGTTCTGCCCGGACGCCCAGTCCAGCTTGCACTTCTCGTCATGGCCCAGCGAGCACACAGAATCGGCAATGTTGAACAGCACGTGGTTCCTGCCGACCCAGCTGTCCGGCTCCCCGAGGCAGCTCGCGACGAAGTTCATGCTGTTCGCCGCGCTCAGCGGCAGGCCGTCGGCGTGGATGAGGTCCTTGCAGTCGGAGGCCTTTGCGTTCTCCCAGGTCATGGCGACGCCCCCGCCGGCGATGGGCTCCTTGGAGGCGGACTTGCCCGTCTGCAGGTAGTTCCAGGCGTCGTAGCTGACGTCGTAGGCGCCGCCGGACTGGTCGACGCGCAGGAGGTGGAGGGAGCGGTCGCCGTAGCTGAGCTTGACGCAGATGTTGTTGCAGTCGACGCTCATGGGCCAGTAGGCGACCCGGTTCGTGTTGATCTTGCAGCCCAGCACGCCGATCGAGGACGAGTAGCTGTCATGGGGGGTCGCCCAGATGCCCGTGCCTTCTGCCGCGGCGACGGCGGCGAGCGCGGCTAGGCACCACAGGGCCAGGGCCAGGCGCAGGACGGGCGAGGGCGTTGTTATCATGGCCGATGCGTGAGTGGCTGGCTCATTGGCTGGTTGGCTGGTTGGTTGTCGATAATACGGTAATGATATCAAATGATTGACTCCGAGTTTAGGACTCGCATGGAAGTGATTGACTGGGGCATTAAGGATTGACCCTGCTGCCGCGTCTGCGGCTCGTAGAACGGCGTGTGTGTATGTTCCGGACAGACTCCACGCGATCGTGTGCGGCGCGGAGGATTTGGGCAATTTGCACGGTGCGGTCGAGGGCAGAATCCTGTCTGACCACGAGATTATCTGAGATTAAGCTTTGTTGTTAAAATTAGGTGAGACTGTTTCGGGCCTAGCGGCTCCCGGCCCACTGACCGGCGCCTCGGGCCGTGACCCGGCCAATTGGAAACATGAGAAACATTTATAGAGTTCGAGTATGGCGTGTATAAACAGTCCGAGGCTTGGTGGAGTGGTGGATTCCCGAAAGCCTTGTTATGCTCTTCTCCCTCCCCATAATTGATAACTTGAGATAGACTGAACCAGCATATATATTATGTTCTAGCATTCCCCTGTGCCTGCATGACTTCCGAGAAAACACGATAGCCCGCGTCGGAGAAGATGGACGGTATCCAAAAGAACCGTTCCAAAGTGACCAAGGCATCGTCCCAAGATGTGAGCTCCGCCGCCGCGGTTATTCGGTCCATCCTGGACCAGAAAAACCATCTGGTTGATTCATCCGGCGCAGCTATTGCGCCCATCATGGTTTGCCAAAACAGTGACTCCAGGGAAGAGCACAGCCCCAAAGACGAAGGCAATTGCTGTTCGGGTCTCCGGAAGACATCCATCAACTGCACAGCCGTGTCACCGGGATCGTCACCTGTACCGGCGCCGCTATGCTGTAAAATTGACAAGAACACCTTCATGGACCAAGCCATCGCCGTGAGAAATGCCTCTCTCGGGTAAGCGGTAGAGCCCAACTCGATTGCTTCGTTTAGGGACTTGATAATACGATCAAGGTGTTGTTGCACAGTCCCACTAAGACTTTTCCCGGCAACTCTCGTCTGTACAAGCATAGTCACCTGTTCAGAGTTCTCGAGGATCAAGTAGGCTGCTTTCTTGGCGGGGGCGGAGAACATAGTATCGAACATGCCGGTTTTCTCGACAGTATTCAACACTGTCGCATCATGTCGAGCCAGCACAAGAAGCCCTTGCATTGTTGTGCTTTCAGAAAAGGATTAGATACAAGCAGAGAACAGTGTTAGGTGCTCTACGAACCGTGGAATCGCATTTGATACCAAATTCGCGCGAGTATCCTGCGAATTTCTGGAATGAGTTTCGAGGATTTGAAGAAGCCCAACGACGTGAATCTTCCATGCTTCCACATTGCCCAAAACTTGCTGTTTGAGAACTCTCCATCAGCATTAATTCAAATCAAGCTGTGAGAAACAACTTGAATCGGAGACCCACCTCCGCGACCGTGAGTATCAAAATTGCCGCAACGAGGCTATCGTTGAGGCCATCAGAGCCATAGTTGAGGCGCTCTCTCACGGATCGGATTGCCCTGCTTTTGTATGTATCACAGATAGCTTGAACGAATTGATTATGCTGTTTAGATGCATATACGTGTCTGGCAAACCAGAGAGAAACATCGCGCATTGTAGGATCGGGAAGGAAGCGAGCCCAGTCAGACTGTATCGAAGCAAGGGGAGCCTCCGATTCTTTAATGTCTTCTGGAACTAAATGCAGTCTTTCCATTGCTTTTATTACTGGAGCATTCGACGGATCAGCTGCATGTAAATTCAAAAGTGCCAACTTTCCATTGATTACGTACGATTTCGAATGTAAAACGCATCCGTTTGTTGCAGTCGCATATCCAGTCCCGGACGGCTCGTTATGGGTGGCTGATGACTGACTAAAACTAGGCTGGTATCTTTGGCTGGAAAGCCGTCCTCAGTCCGCGAGGACTTGGTGATCTCGGATTGCTTTTGAGCAGCGTGATCTTGTACAAGGCGTCGCCGTCTACGCGCGAAGTTGGCCCTCGTAGTGTGGGCTCTCATTACCTTGGCGCTATCCTTATCCAGCGTAGGGCCAGTAGTCGATACAAATGTCAAGCCCGGAGCCATCGTGTTAGCAAAGCTTCAGTCGGATATGTGATTCGCGCGTCGGTTTGATGCAGTACTATGACTTCCCGTGCGGGTCTTATGAGCCTTGACTGCGACGAGGTCGAAGTTGCCCGGGGGTCTTCAGCTTACCAAGCGGTACACTCCATCTCGAATGGCAATGCCAAGCATTCTTGTTTTCCTATAACGGCCTAGATCCGGTACGAACGCATCTTGGTGTGCCCGACTCATGCTGCAAGTGGTGACAAATGCCCGGCCAGACCCACTAAGTTGACGCCATGCGGCTCAAGAAATTACCCGGGGGGCAGGCCTTCCCTAGGGTACTCTTATATCATCTACTACCAGAAACCCTTCTAATCACTAGGACCTCCCTACTTTAAGCACCTACACTATCTAAATCTAATATAAAGTGTACTTAGTAGACAGGAAGATAAATATACCTCCTTTTTAAGGCTATTACTAACTCTTTTATCCCTTTAAATACTATATTTTTATTATTTATTTTTATTAATTAGTTTTAATATATTTAAAAAATCTTTATTATTATTAAGAGATTCTTTAGGGACTTTATATAGTAAGTAAGGTGGGAAGGTTTTAGGGTTATCTCTTAATTTTAACTTCCTCCTCTTCTCTTTATTTTTACCACTAAAAATTACTAAAAACCACTATTTTACTCTCTCTCTCTCTCTCTCTCTCTCTCTCTCTCTCTCTCTCTCTCTCTCTCTCTCTCTCTCTCTCTCTCTCTTTCTTTAAGGGTACTAGTTACGGAGCGAATAGCCCTAATAGGGGATACATAGCCACTAGTAACTAACCCTCCCAAACAAAGCCCCTCTAGTCCTTTAACTAAAGGCTATTACCTTAAAGTTAAGGTTAAATTTAAAGTTAAATTTTTATAATAATAGTTACTTTAATCTAAAATAATATATTAAATACTTTTAAATAAAAGTACCTCTCTTCTATATCTAATATAATATAGTAATTAGGGGCCCCTTATTGGAGTTATAGGAAAAGTGGGTAGTAGAGGATATAAGAAAGGCTGCCTTCCCTACCCCCCTACGCCAAGGGCGTAGGGGGTGCCAAAATTCCGCAACGGCCAAAATCCCACAACACCCACACCTACCTATTTTCACTACTTTTCCCTATAAAAATCTACTTTTTAATTAAGTATATTTCCTTAATTAAATTTTATATAAAGAAAAGTTAAATATATTTAAAATCCTTATTTTATAACGATTAATGATAAAATATTTTTAAATTCTTAGGGTTAGGGTTTAAGATTTTAGTTTTTTTAATTAAGGGTTTTTTAAAATTAATATATTAACTTAATTAAATTATATTATTAAAAAATAAAAATAATAGAATATTATAAGAATTATTTACTTTATATAAATAATATTTAAAAATTAGAATCTAATTATAAAAGATTAAAAGTTAAAGTTTTAAAAGAGATTTATAATATTAAAATATTATAAAGAAATAGAATATAATAACCTTAATTTTAAAAAGACTTTTTAAAAATATTATTTATATATACTAAATAATTTTAAGAATATTCTAATACTTTTACTTTTTAATAATATAATTTATTTAAATAAATATACTAATTTTAAAAAACCCTTAACTAAAAAAACTAAAATCTTAAACCCTAATCTTAGAAATTTAAAAATATTTTATTATTAATCTTTATAAAATAAGGATTTTAAGGATATTTATTTTTTTATAATATAAAATTTAATAAAGGAAATATACTTAATTAAAAAGTAGACTTTTATGGAGAAAAGTAGTGAAAATAGGTGGGTATAGGTGTTGCGAGGTTTTGGCCGTTGCGGGTTTTTGGCACCCACTCCGCCAGGAGTGGGTAAGTGGAAGCCGAGGCCCACGGGTACCTGTGGGAAATCTATCGCGCAGAATTACAGTCAGCAGAGTGCGTCTACTGCCAACTAAACTTCGAGCACGGAAACCCAGCACTGGCGAACTAACGCAAAACGGGTATTGAGAATGCTTGGCATCTTTCTTCCTCTTTGGCTACGATCCTTCGGAGTCGGGTCATTGACATCCACCAGATTCCTCAGAATGGAGGTTCATGGCGATGGAGCCATCCGTCATTCAAGTCCAATTACAAATCCACCTTTAGAAACATTCTTCAATGTCGAGCGATTTTGATATAAAAGACATGTTCTCGCTTGCTGTATACGTCTCGGGTATACTGCACCAGACACAGATTCCCACTTGAGCAGACGACCATTCTCCTTCACATGCTGATAAATACACTCAAAAACCGGACAGCATGCCCTCATACGTGATCAACGGAGCCTCAGGCGGCATTGGCGTAGGGCTTGCTCCATATCTTTCATGCCACTGCAAGTGACTTTGACTGACAGGTTGCAATAGTTTGAGTTTCTACGACAGCTCTCCCTCAACCCTGCCAACACCGTCATCGGCCTCGTTCGCAACGTCGAAAAGGTGGAATCCAAGGTCAAGGCGGAGATCAATAGGAGCAATGTCCATATCGTTCACGGGGACCTAGACAGCTATGAAGTGCTAAAGGCAAGTTCTTGAGCTTCATTCCCTGTGCTGCTACTAACTTTGAAAAGGAAGCAAGCATTACCACCGCCAAAATTACTGGAGGAAGCCTCGACTACCTTATTGCTAATGGTGCTCGAATGCCCCAAGAATCCGCCTTCGTCGGATTTGGAGAGCTGTAAGTATTCGTTCCCCATGCTTACCCAGGTATTACTGGCACTGCACCAGCACCATAGCACTTGAGGATCACCTAGTTCTAACTACAACACAGGGGAAAGAACCCTGCCGCCCTGGAGGAAGATATCCTCGCAGATTCGAAGACTAATATTATTGGAAATATTCATCTGTTCAACCTCTTCCTGCCGCTACTGCTCAAGGGCGAGCAGAAAAAGGTCGTTTTCATATCTTCGGGTGTCGCCGACCTCGATCTGATCTCCAAGTATGATATCGCAGTCAATGGACCATACTCCCTCGCAAAGGCCGCAACGAACGTCGTCGTGGCCAAGTTCCATGCCGAGTACGCCAAAGGTGGGGTGCTTTTCATGAGCATCAGCCCGGGATTTGTTGACACGGGACATTCGGACACTAGCAACTGTAAGCCTGGCGATCTTTTGGCCTTCATCGCGTGCTTTGGTTCTCACATCTAGGCTGAGCTGACCCGGGACTGGCGCATAGTGACGGAGGAACAACAGAAGGGCTTGGCGTCAATGGTAGCCTCATTTCAGAAATACGCACCGCATTTCAAGGGCCCCCTAACCCCCGAGGAGTCCGTCAAGCAAGTCATCTCAGTTTACGAGAAAGCGAGTCTTGCCAATGGAGATGGAGGTTCTTTCGTCTCCCATTTCGGGACTAAGCAATGGCTTTGATCTACCCGGAGGCGAATATTCCGCACATGTGATATATCGATCTGTCAGGCACGGGAACGAAGACAATGAGAAACATTGTCATGGCAGATGGTATTCGTCACTGTTGTGTTTGACATTTCTATTTAAATAATCGACTTATTGGATTCAATGGGCGAATCACACATGCGTCAGACGTGCGTGAAATCACCTCGACTTTCATACACTCGGGTTGTACAGTTCATCCAATGAACCTTCCCATCCACTGCTCCGGCTCCAACATGAGCTATTGTGGTACAATGTTTGCATTGTAAAAGTTCACAACAACTGTTTGATGAGCAAACGCTCAGCTACTTTTGATATGTCGCTCTTCAGGGGGCCATTGCGCAGAAGACTGGTCGATCGGAGACCAGCCCACAGTGGAGTCTCCGAGGTTCACTATGGGAGGCCATGCCATGGGAAGTTCATTTCAACGAAGCTGCGCCATAGGTGCTGCGACACAGATGACGCATTACTAGGGCTCCTGATATTTGTTCTCAGCGGTCATACATTGGATGACAATTATTCTCTACTCGAAGTGCACAACAGACAAGTATGTCCGGGGAAATAGCGAAGCGCCGGCTCACGGCATCATAGTACATAGCCACACGTTAAACTTCTACCCGGAGGTCAGACCTTCGATTGCCCAGTTCTCCGCCAGCGGTAGGTAAGCAGAGCCGAAGCCCAAGGGTACTTTGGTTTGGAACGAACCTTCCACTTGTATGTGTTTCGTTTCACCCATTGGTGTAATCACTAATCGGATCCATCACTCTTTATCACAGCGATTATGAGGTTTCGCAATCTGAAAACTTGTGCATTCCTGTGGGTGATATAAATTGATAGATTGAACATCATCCCCCTTTATGTCAGAAGGCTACTTTGAAAGGCGATGCTCGCATGGAAGAACAACCAGATGTATCGCTGGAGAAACTTGGGCCTTGGTAAATGCCTAGTTACTCGCAGTTGTGTGATACAATCTATCTACGTGAATCCTGTATTAATAGACTATCGGAAAATACAGCTGGGGTTTCTCTACCAAATCCGGAACAGAGATACTATGCGAGCGTAATTCTCAAATGAAAGGTGATCTCGAAACCTTCCTCGAGTATCTGTTCCGGCAGGAACTCAAAAGACACAATCTTGACCCTTGCAAATTCGTTATACTCATCCAGCATCTTCTGTACCCCGATACCGAACGGAGAATTTTGCAGCAAGATATTGAACGCTTGTCCTTCTGCAGTTGACCCACCGTCCCGGCGGATAAGAAGGTTTTCGGTTTGTTTCTTGCGCATCAGAGCATAGATCTCCGGCCACAATTCGTAGCGGAGGAGCTCTTCTTTGACGACGAAGTAAACGAGATGCTTGAGACTCGTGGCCGGCCTGTCGAGCTCATGTACCCAAAAGCCCAGTATGATATCGCGCAGCGCCAAAACCTCATGGCGTGGCCGTTGGTCGAATGCGTTCCACGCCTCGCTGACTGCAAGAGTGTCACCACCTACAGAGCCGGCATCGAAGTAGTCGAATATATCAAGACTTTCCTCAGCACTATAACTTGGATGCGTGATTTCGCGGGCATGGCACTGATCCTGTGTGATCGTAGTTGAATAAAGCCTCTCGACGGCTTTGGAGTAAATCTCGTGCTTGTGAAGCTCGTAGCCCCAGTCTGAAAGCCGCTGGATCTTCTTGGTCCCGTCTGGCGCGGCTAGTACGAGATTGCGCCTTATATCATCGAACGGATCGCCAATAACCTTTCGTCCACCAAAGTTTACCACGTTAATCTTATCGGCCGGATTATCCTGCATAATGAGTATAGAGTGATGAAGTGAAAGTCGCTGGCCGATTCGATTGGTGCGAGCAAAACCCTGGGTCTGATTGTCTCGACTGCCAGGAGGAAATGTAAAGATTTGGTAGTTGGCCGACTGTAAGTTGAGCCCTGTGCCACCGACAGCGTATGGGGTGATCAGGACGTAGGAGTGACGGGCATTTTTCCTAGCTGTCAGAGACTCGAAGCTTTTGAAGGCAGCCTCGCGATGCTCCGGGCTCCCAAGGGCGTGGAAGCAGACGGGGTTCAGGGACGGCATCCGCTTCTGCAGGAAAATGGTAAGCATGATAGCAGTTGCGAGGGTCGGAGTGATTATGACCATCTTTTTGAGGGCGAGATTTTCCCTGCGGGGAGTCTCCTGAAGTCCAGGAATCTCCTCGCGCTCTTCCCTATCTGCCCGCATGCGCCCTATTTCTGCCAGAATGAACTCGAGCTTCGGTGAGCCGCGTGCAGCGTCTTCAACATGCTGCGTGTAAGACTCGATGTTCTCAACCTTGTGTTTGTCCGAGACCTTGATTTTGCGCACAAGCTCCTGCACCTCGTTATTCTCCACCTTGAGTTCTCCCTTTGAAATGAGTTCAGCAGCGCCAGGGAAAAGGGAGACAAAGTGAAGCTTGGCGTAAATGTTTGAGTTGTAATCTGGCTTAAATACTTCGTTCTTCTCTTTGGCGACGCGTGCGCTCTCGCGAACTACCTCCCTGGTCATATGAGCGACTTTCTGGACACTGCCGATGTGCTGCTGCGGAGTTTCCAGCCATTTGCTGTCCGGCCTAGTGACCCGTAAGCCTGTGATCGACCTGCCATTGAACTGTGCGGAGACTTTGTTGCGACGGACGAGTCTGCCGTCAAATACTCTGGACCAATGGCTTAGGAAGGTGTTCATGTCCTCAGTCGAAGACCTCGCGGTGGTATGTGCTGTGACCAAGTCTGCCATAGCCGTGCAGCGGGCCAAGTCGCTAGAGCTGCTAATAATCTGGATCGGGAGCTCAAAATCTTTAAGCAGCCGGATAGGTGTAGCACTGACGAGCCATAAATCAACACCGTCACCAATCTTGGACTGCGCTTGACTGATTGCCATCGCGCCTGTCTCGAGCCGCATCGCGCCGTGAGATTCGTCGGAGAAATGAACTCCAACTTGGATGCTCCCCTCCGTAAAAGTTTCGCGGATTTTTGGGTTGGTGTGAGACGAAAAGAAAATGTAAGTCTCCAGTGCTTGGTGTGAGCCCTTCGCGCCTGGCTGATCTAGAGACTTGACCACCCGTGTAAAATCTCGCTTCAGTCGTGATGGAGTTGCCGGGGAGGTGATGATGAGGTTGTATGTGGACGGATCCAAGTTCCCAGTCTCGAATAGGTCGATCCACTGGGGCATCACGGCGAAAGGGGCCTGAATGAGGGTCGCTCCACGGGGGGCGACTGCAGCATCGATAAACTCGCGGGCTTTCGAGGTGGGTACACAATAACATACCACGTCACCCTTGGCTTGAGAGGGGCATTTGTGTCCGCTGCCGCGGGTCGTGCTGGGCAAGTGCTTGGCAGAGGCCGGCCTTCCTCCCCGACTTGAGCCTGTGACGGGGGGCAAGGACCAGAACTCCTTAACTTGCCGCGAAACTTCGTATAGCCGGGCTCGAAGTACGACAACAGATACCACTATAAAACTTTTTCCTACTCCAGCAGCACTGGCCTGTAGGCCGCCCCGGAGCCCTGTTCTTTCTCGTTGATTTAGCATCTTCCAGGCCTCGTACAGCTGAAATGGCGTGACTGATAGACGAGTCTTGGGTAATTTGATGGAACGTACCTCAGGGAATACATGTCTGCGTGGCTCTATGCCTTCGATCAACTCGCTGCACTCTTGGATGAACTGATCTAAGGTTACAGCTGGTGATTGCGGCAATTGGTGGTTGAGGTTTGTAAGGGGGTCGGGCTCTAGAAGACCCGCCAGCTGGGAATTGGCTGAAGGGGAGGGCTGAATCCCAGAAGAACTCTCGGAAGGTCCGGTGCCTGGAGTTTGAGGCTGGGACTGCGGCGGCCGCACCGGTGTGCTGCCACCGAGGCCCAGCATTCCCAGCATTCTACTCACACGGGGGGTCTTGTCACCTTGTCCAGCCATGGTGATAATGATAGTTTGACAGTTTTGTCCTTTGGTTGTGTGTAAGGGTAGAATCTTGTAAGCACTTGAGCTCTGTTAGGATGATGTTAGAAGTCGATGGAGAGAAAGCACGATCGGGATGTCAATTATGACATCTGGACGGTCTCCAGCAACTTTTATAACCATCCGACATAGGTATGTACATATTGCCGATCGTTCCACAGAGCAAGACACGACAGCTCAGAGAGAACAATATCATTTCAACCTATCGATTGTAGCATGGTAGAAGAACAATCCATTGATCCATTCAATTGGGGGATAATTGCTAACAAAGAATTGTCCGCATGACTTTGTAGTCAAGTGAAGGCTTAAAGTAAGTACCTGAGGATTTCATTATGTACATTAATCTATAAATAATCTTTTCTTTATGACCAAAAACAATCGAGCCGTGCGGACGAAAAACTATGCCAATAACAGTATAGGTAGGAAGACACCCGAGGTCTGCTAAATAAGAATGTGCAAAAAGAAATCTGAGGGCAAAACATACAGCACCAGGTATTCGCTGGTCATCACCGACCCAACTACTGATCCGGCGATCACGGGTTTGACTAAGGGAGAGCGGACGGGATCCCGTATTTTCCAGTGTCTATGGCCGTATGTGCTAGAGAAGAATTCATGCTTGCCTATATCATTAGTTCATTATCAGTACTTGAGTTCAACCCTGGACACCTCCAGGTTGCTCAGGCAGAATGCGTGGTAATGGCAATGGGGTCATTCCTACTTAGATTACTGCCCTTATTAGACGACCTATAAACGCTGATATCAATTATCCGTTCAGCCTGATGAGTCAAGCCTTTGTAGTATGAGCTCATTTGTTAGGCACCATAACATTGAATGAGAAAGGCATAAACAGACGCCGTTGGGTGACAGCCAGTTGCATATGGCATAGCGGACGAGTCTATGACACGGATGCCTTCAATTCCTGTCATTTGAAAAGAACCGCCCTTCAACACGTGACCAAGAGAGACTGTGCCAACCTTGAAAATCTATCAGTGCACATGTGGGACTGCAAGTGAATTCTGGATGACGTGCCATAAGTCCTCGTCTGGCACGACATCCGAGCCGGGGTAGACCTCTCGGACAATGAATTTATTCAAAGATGGGTTGCCTCAAACCTCTGAAGCCTTTTGTAGCCACGCAACATGGCTGCTTTGTCACCTACATGCGACAACCGTGCCAATGATCAGCTTATGAGTCGGACCACACCATGGGCATCCGAAGTAAATGAATATAGCCATGGAATGTGAATACTTTCAGAGCCCCAAAAGTTGGAGATGATGATCGGATCATCACGGAAGTCATTTGAAGGCAGGCGCATCTCTGCATTCGCTTCAGGCTGGACGAATCCCACAAAGCCTAAGATGACGTTTCCGGTGGAGTTGCCGCTCAACAAAACTATGGCACCCTGGGTCAAAAGATGGCCCCGGTCGGCGGGTAAATCTGTGTGAGAGAACCTGCTGTCCACGTTGTCGAATACAGAGTCGGGTGCACGATAGTCAGCAACGTCTCGTTCGCGGCCACCAGCAACCAAGACGTTGTTAAAACGGTAGAAATTTCATGGATCGGCGGCTATGTTTACAAGCTTCAAAAGTCGCACTCGATGGACCAGACTGCTTACGCTTTTCAAGTTCAGCATACACATCTACCCAGCGCGCACTTGGCTCGAGTTATGCGACATTGTTCTCAGCGTCATACCAGTTAACGTCGTGGTTTTAAGAAGATCCAAATCAATTTTGAACGGGCTTCAATACCACTTCCCCCGGGACAGGCCATATGCCCTCCACTGCGGATCGCAGCCTGGCATCCGGGAGGTTCCACGAGAGCTTTCACGGCGGCTGATACCTGTTGCGCACCACGAGATTGGACGATGCCCCGAGGCCTAAGCTGTGATGTACGTGACTAGTAGGATACGACCCGGCTTTCAAAGTGGTCCTCACGATGCGGATATACGATACCGCCCAGGCCAGCTGCCTGTAACGCCGTCACTGCAGCCACGGCCGTGGTATAGGTGGAGATATCGCAATCCTGTTTGGACAGGATCCCATCATTAGGAGCAGTGCCCGAAAAGCCTGGAACTGTCGACATTTCGGGTGGTGATTCCTGTCAAAGATGACTAGCAAATATAATACAATAATGCGATATCAGATTACCAGAATCTCGAATGATTGTGTTCTGCGGTCAGTACATCGGATGGTGCACCCCGGGCCTTTCTTGGTGGCCAACTTAAACATGTTCTTCCTCACTTTGAAATTGAATGCGTGTAAAAATAAGCTTGGAAGTTTGCTCGTCACATTGGACATGTATCCGGCCTCGGGCTGCTGTGCTCTCTGCTGTACTGCTGAAAACAGCATGCACTTGAAGTTTGATTTTGATTCGTCATCTTTTTAGGTACCTTGATGTCAAATCAACAATCTGCTGAGTGGGCCACAAATCGGCTACCAAAACTCTAAATGTGCATACCAAGTAATCGGTCTGCCAAGGCCCACTTAATAGACACATGGGCGGTAGATAACGTTATGTTCCTTCACAGATTTCGCGTCTGTGGCGCAATGAGAAAGCTCTAGTACGTCGATCTCAGGCTAGGTCCGCATCTCAAATGTGACTTCTCACCGTCAAATGCGAACGCCAGCGAATGAGCAGGCGCGACACTGAATTAGCTGCCGACGCCGAACACATGCCTCGGCGCCCAGTCGATCGCAATGGGGGCCTGACTCGCCCAACGCTTCCCACGTATCGCAGCCAGCAGATTGCGATCACGAACTTCTAGATATCAGAGCAAGAGCACACATCGCTACAGCCCGAGGACATGGGCCGTTCGGCTGTCATCAGGGCGACAACTGCAAGTCATATTACCCACGTGGTATTAAACCCAAATTCGAGGGAATCTGTCTCTAGATCCACAGCTTTTGAGTCTCACGATTCATCAGGCCATTTGATGACTAGCAGCATCCTCGGCAGTCTCGGGACAGTCATGAACTGCGGATTTGAGAAGCAGAAACAAATATCCGGAGAACACACAAATCAAGCTTGGAGACAAAGTGTACCCATATTTCCGGCAGGTATCGATGAAAAGCGGCTCCCGCCATGACGGAATAGCCTTGAACTTTAAACTTTACCACATCCTTCGTGCCCAGGTGCACATCCACTACGGCGAGGCTACCGTCAATAGTCAGGCGCCACAGGGATGTGCTGTAGAGGATTTAAGAGTAGCCCTACTACAGTATGCTTTCGGCGCATGACCAACCAGGGCATAATTCCCCTGGAATCCACCGTTGGCGGTTTCACGATGGCTCAGCTTCCCGTCCGGTGTGGTGTGTCTCATCTCCAAACGGACTAGGATGCCAAGCCACATGTGGTACCCAAGACAGCCGAGCCTGGTTGTCGAGTCAGTAGGGCGCTCGCCTTCTGGGCTTGGTAGGGCTAAAATAAGATTTGTTAGAAATACATTCGGGGAAATCAGAGCTGCCGTCTCGGTAGAAAAATGCACAAGTAGTTAGGGATGTGCAAACCTCCATCCTACTGCTTCGCGATAGCTGGTTCTCTGCTGCCGAGAATGCCCATGTGCTGAGATGGCGCCGCCCTTCTCGTCACCCCAAGGTAACGCGCCGCAGACGCTGGCTGCTCTGTGGTGCCTTGTCGTAGTGGCCCTGGTCTTCGTCCTCCTACGGCTCTACACCCGCTACAAGGTCATTGATGCCATAGGAGTAGATGACCACCTCTTCAACGTCGCCTTTGTGAGTTAGACTCGGACCATGCAAACAAAATCTCCAACCATTCGCGTACTGATGGTTCTGTGTCCCGAACAGGTTCTCCTGGTGGTCTATTGCAGTTTGATCACAGCATCCTGCTTCTACGGCTTCGGCTTAATCCGAGACGATGTTCCAGACCCATGGCATCGGTCACTGGTGATTATTCTCACGAATGCCGGCCAGACAGTCGTCGGAGTTGCGGTCTGGTTATCAAAGACCGCTCTCGCCTTTTTCTTGCTGCGCATATTCGGAGCTTGTGGTCGAAAGACTCGTTATACTATCATCATCCCGCCTATTCTATTGGGGCTGTTTGTAACGGCGGGTCTCCTGGCGTTCTGGCTCGAATGCCGACCGGTCTCTTACCTGTGGGACCGGCTAAATCCGGATGGAGTTTGCGGGGACAGTGCGGTTTATTTGAACCTCATCGCGGCCATCCTCAGCTTTTTGTGCGACTTTATCTTTGCGGCGCTGCCCTGGTTCACCCTCAGGAATATTCAAAGTAAGCACGTTGTTGAAGCTACGGAGGAACAGGAACTTACATCTACACCTAGTGCCGCCACGGGAAAAGAAAATCGTATTATACAGCCTAAGCCTTGGAATTTTGTAAGTTTGTCCTGCATTGGCTATCAGCGCGGATGTAAAATGTCGCCGGAGAAGAAGTTCTCGACAGCTGACAATTTCTTTGTAAAAGTGCTGGTGCGTGTGGAATAATGCGAGCAGTCAAGCTACCAACCATGTCCGACGGAGAATATATGCGTTAGTCGAAATATGCTTTTTCGGTCGATCATGAACCTTGTTGACTGACATGGCTCCTCCAGGGGATCGGGCAACCTTAATCGTCTGGCATGCAGCGGAGCTCACAGTAACTATGGTTGCCATCGGAATACCTGTTTGTCGGCCGCTCTGGAAGGGATGGGTGAACCGGATACTGCCAGGCGGCCAGCAAGAACAAATATTTTCGGCCAGTTACTTCAGTGGTGAGCAAAGGACGATAGGAGGCTCCGAGATGAAATGGCCATCCAAAGGAACCGATTCAAAAGAAAGGTCGAAATCGAGAAAGGGTAGCAGGGGCCACAGATCTAGGCCCAGTGACATCATTACTACTCACAACGACGACATCGAGATGCTGCAGACAGGGGACACCATGGAGAAGGATCTCGCATCAGGAGGGGGACGCACACCAGATAGCTGGTCATCTTGGACACGCCCCTGAATTCCGCAAAGGGAAAGCGACAGCGGCTCTATCTGGATGCACAGTACAATGAGTCGCTGATGTTGACGTAAATATTGAACTTCACGTTAATGATAATGTTATAGAAATGCAGGCCTTGCAGGCCTTAATTAGTCACTATACCGGCAAAGTGCAATATAGGCCCATAACCATGTCGGGAAAGTATCCAGCCATTTCAGCCGCTTGTCCAATCATTCATGTCCGCAGGTGTTCTGTGCCAAAGCAGCTGCTTGTGGATGTCACTCAACCATAACCCGACCTCAGATTCAGAGGCGAGGCTGTGGTTTTGAGACTGATATTAAGTGTCGCACTATATTCAAGAGAACGGATATTCACACAGAAAAAAACGGCTGGTATATAGGTATAAATGCCCCCTAGTACGCTAACCTTAATTTATATTACCTACTTATTATATAAAACTGAAATTTATACTTATTAATTATACTTTTAATCCTTTTATTATTGCTTTTAGTTTAGTAGTTTGTTACTTCTTTCTTTATTATTACTTAAGGCGTTTTAATAAGTCCTTAAGTACTTAAATCTCCTTTTAACTCTCCTTTTTATCGTTAATAAGGTTCTCTATAATAAGGTTAATCTGTAGTAGTTAGTTAATAGTCCTATAAGTCCTTATATAGGGTTTCTTAATAGTGAGAGAGTTTTATTTAGTGGGTAAAGGAGAATTATAGGTTTGTGTGGGGGGGGTGTAAAAAGTACTTCATTTAGGTGGTGTGTATAGTTAGGGGAGGTTGAATAAAGCTCTCTGATTGGCTGTAGTCTAGAAGGAAAGACTGTACCTATATACTAGCCGTTTTTTCCTGTGTGAATATCCGTTCTCATATTTAAAGAGAACGGAGATTCACAGGGCAAAAAACGAAGGGTACAGGGCAAAAAGTACCACCAGCCAATCAAAGGGCTTTATTCAACCTTACCTCACTACCCACACCACCCCAACTAAATACTTTTTACACCCTAACCTACAAACCTACAAATCTATAAGAAGAAGATTTAAAAGAAAATTTAGGTACTTAAAGACTTATCACTAAAACACCCTAAGCAACAAAGAGGAAAGTAGTAATAAACCACTAGGGTAGAAAAAGCAATAAAGGTAAGTAGAAGTAATAAAGGTAAGTAAAAGCAATAGAGGTAAGTAAAAACGATAAAGGTAAGTAAAAGTAATAAGAGTGGCATTTATATAGGATAGATATATAGGTAATGACTATATATTATTATTTTATATAGTAAATTAGTGGTGTAAATTAAGGTTAGTGCACTAGGGGTACACGTTGCCCTGTACCCTCCGTTTTTTGCCCTGCGAATCTCCGTTCTCTATTTAAAAGCCACACCACGGAATGGTCTAATTTGGTCTTTCGTTTCGGTGAAGTCCAAGGCGAAAAGTTTTCTCACCTCGGATCTCCATTGCCTATAGATTGCCTTCTCTTCAGCTAGCATTTCAGGTCTTGAAATCACGGCTTTTGGCAAAGATTCATTATTATCCTGCCGGCTGCCTCCGTCGGGTTTGCTTCATCCCAGTCTGTGACGAGGCATCTAGACTTGAGTGAAATTCCGGCCATGGTAAGAAAACAATATGTTTTCTGAGATTGAACTCTTTATATCCTTCCTCTCATCCCCAGTCCACTCTTAGCAATTGTCTTTCTGTGTCTTGGCTATGCCTGGCATCAGCCAGGGTGAGAGTGCAAGTAAAAATAACTATTTTGTTTACCGTTCTCTTTGAAACATGGTAATTGTACTATATCGGAGTCATATGAACCGCCAGTGACCCTGACTGGAAAGAATCCTTGGTGAAGCAGTTCTGGAGAGAGTACTGAGCCCGGTGGGGGGCGTTGTGGCAATAGCTATTCATTTACAACTCTAGCGAAATTTCTTCTAGGCCTTCTCCGAGTCCTGTTCATTATGCAGAACTTGAGTTTAACTGCTCTAGGGTATAGAATCAGACGTGTCATATTCCACATTAAGTGCCCAGGTGATGGTGCGACTAACAACAAAAAACGCTTTGCCAATGCCATCGGGGCCTTCACATCGTTGTCGCACAGTATGCCTCTCTATTGTCACTGGCGATAATTCGCTGAGCTCACTTATGGCTCAAACAAATACAAGCCTCAGACTGTCTCTCTTTTTTCTCTGGAGTCGTTGTTCCTGAATTTCTTTCCTGGCCTGGTCTAAAACGAATGCACTGCGTCGGCATGATTGCCTCAACCAGATTGATTTGGCGACTTCATTACAGAGTTGAAGATCACCCTTCTTGGGAATCACAGTCTTTTCACTTCTTCTCTGACACGATCCACGGGCAAGTCTTCAGAACATGGCACCGCATAGGGTAAGTCAAATGCGAGCTTGCCGGCTGCGTCCTGACTTTAAGGCCGGGGAGTTTTTATCGGTCTGAATCATCCCATACGAAGAATTAGAAGTGTACCCTACATATGCACAAATCGCACTGGCCTTCATCAGCGGCCAAGAAAAGATGCAGGCTGTGATAATGTCGATATCAGCAGTCGACAGGGCTCGTATTTCAAATAATGACACGACAGCATATATTAATGTAACTTTTGGACCTTTGGTTATGTCCCACTTTGGTCCCAACTCCCTGTCGTCCAGTGTCCCCGGAATGACTCTGGTCCACACAAGACGTGACTGTTCACAGGAACTGTCCACAAACATCTCCCCTACCTAAATAGAGCACATTTCATGACGATAGTGTCACGAATATGAGCAGGGCATATCGAATATAGCAGATTTGGGGAAGCCCGTATTTATAGCAATAGAGCTGCACAGTCCCGTGCTCGCGATAGGTAGCATTTGAGCCATGTTGCTCAATTCGCGACGTCGACGTCAAGAAAATAATTTTATCGCGGGCGGCGGGAGGGTGCATTGCTATCTTGCAAGCCCGTAGTAGGTGTTATAGTTTGGGGCGTTTGGTTTCTAGACATCTAGAGAGAAACACTTTCCGTCAGAAATCTCGAGCAAAATGTCATTGACAGTGTTTTTGAGGTAGTGATATCGGTAAAATTTGATTGTATTGGTGATGGGTAAACAAGTATCAACAGCCCGACATAAACCACAAAGCGTTCTCCTTTCTCATTCACAAGTGTTGGCTCTTGTCTGCAGCTCTCATGCAATTTGGATCCGTGGAAAATTGTTGCGAAATGCTATAGCTAAATTCCTATCTCAGCTGCTAGGTAAGATTGACCCTGACGCAATCAGCCTTCAATTTTCTTGTAGAATCTCGTTTGGGAGGCGGCGGGGTGAGACAGTATGCGGGCTGGAATCCTGTTCTCTGGTTTACCCTAAGGGTCGTGCGAAAAGGAACTATCCTTTCACCCAAAGCTGCATGCCTGCGCCCCTTTTCCAAGCCCATCCATCGAGCATTATCTAAGGACTAGTGCCAATATTCCGGCTCCGCTGGGCGCCCGTTTGGGATGAACACTTGGTTCCTCCCCTAAGCACTTGCACTACTTTTGGCGCCTATGCTCACTCAGCGAGATGCAGGCGCCGGTCTGACGTCGTTCGCTTGTGAGACCGCGGCACAGCGCACAGCATGACATGGCCTAATTTCAAGGGGTCGCCGACGCTGCCGGTCGCCTAACTCTTTTGTGACTGATTGATCTCGCTGACTGGACGAGCATTGTCGGAGCCGAGCCGTTCCGTGAGGGGAAAAGCGTGCTGGGTTGAACTTCGGATGCAGGGAGGACCGAGGCGGGCGAGGGTTGACGGAAAACCCCAGATTGGCGGTCTGTTCTGCGATCGCCTCGTTCTTCTGGTTCAAGTTCTCGACGCCAATGGGGTGGGATAGTGAGTGTGTCTTCTGCAGGGCCCCTCAATCAACGCCGGACTATTCCCAGCGGGTAGCGCGAGGGCCGGCGCAAGCGGTGGACTGCCGGGATCTCCAACGGTACTTCCGTGTGGAGAGAGGGCGGGAGGCGGAGATCCCGCCGAGTTCGGATGCTGGGTCGTTGTTTGTCTGGGTACCCACACTAGATGGCAACGGGACTGGACTCGTCCGTGTTGCCTCGGCATGATGATTGGAGATGAGCATGAAGACCGTGGATGTTATGGCCGAAACTCTAACATCCATAGATGGCAGCCAGCAGCGCGGGGGATGACATCAACAAGAGCCTGAAATATAATTTGATTATACATACATAGTAAATCATTCATGGCTTTGTTGACAAGCCTCACGTGTTCACCGGTCAACATGTCCACGTATGTCGCTGTGAAGGAATAGACTTCAAGTTCCAGGCCGCTGCTAAGGTTTGGGGCACTCCGCCGTGTTGCCCTGGGCGGACGCTGGGCTGACCCCTGAAACGCTCCTCGAGTCCCGCAAGCGGCCCGTAAGCCTCACATCTGACCCTTTGTCGTCAGGGGGGAGGCTTCTGGCGTGAGTCGAGCAGCAACCACCGTGGCACCTGGCTGGCAATGATTAGAGCCTTGTGGTCCTATCAGTCAGCCTCTGACCTGTCTGGAGTGTGTTCGGTTTGCCCATCTGGGTAAAGGTCGGACCAGATTCGCGTGCATCCATGGCGACTGGCCTAAGCCCGCTGCCCCTCCGCTACACTAGAACCAGAGAATGACTCTCCGCTGATCGACTAAAGACGTGCAAGTGTGAGTGTAACTGTTAGCACTGCACCGCCAGTTCCACCCCACGCTACGGCGTCACGAGCGGCCGTTGGAGCCATGTTGGCGTGAAGGGGGGTGTCTGAGACATCATTTTACCGTACAAAAAAGACATCGGTTACACCCTCCCTTCCTGGCAAGAACCCATGTGCTCAATCGTTATCTTGTCGGAGTCCTGTGAACTGTCGAGCGCCAGTAAGGAGCGAACCAGCCACCCACGGGTTCAAGGGGGTGTAGAAAATCACGATAACAGAATTTTTTGCTTGCCACCTTGGTTACAAGGTCAAGGAGAGTAATCATGTCGTCAGGCTCGGAGAATTCCTATTTTGTTTCGCGATTTTTTCTTCTTCACCTCTTTTTTTCTTCGCGCGTTCTCCACCCCTACCGGTTTTAAGCAGTGGTCAGTGCTCACGATGTGGTAAATCTCCTTGGAATCTTGCGGTATGAGTGGATGGCGGGGAGCAGAGCCGAAGTCAAGGTTGCATTGTAGATCCGCTCGTCGGGCGCGAAAGGGCGAGGTCATGACATGCCCCACCCCATGCCCATCATACTCGGGCGGTAAATCAGACCATGGAAGGACAAGACAGAACGAGAGAGAGACCTGATCAAGATCTTGTTCCCCAGATTCTACCCAGGTGTCCTACTGGCCTTGTTCCACAGACGTGTCACCGAGTCCATTCACATCCGGCACTTGAAGGCCGCTGGGCCCGGGGCGCATGAAGCCCCAGGCTTTTGGGAAATCAAGGAAAGGTGATGAGATCAATGCTGTGACGACAGCTGGGAAACCTGTCGGGCACCGCAACGAAACAGTGAGACAGCGCCAGCAGGGAAGACTAGGAAGACTAGCCAGTGCCTACTAGCTGGAAGTCAGGTACCCATCTTGGCTCCCACACCGGCTAGACCAAGGTCTCCTCAGCCCAACCGACAGTTGGTTCGGTACTTCCCTGTCCTGATTCAAGGTACCGGGCGAATAGAGATCGTCGCACCGCTGCTGTGAGCTGTCAATCCAAGGCTCTCTCACCTCCCGCAGACATGCCGGGTGATGGCATCCACTTCAACTGAGGCCCAACCCCTCCTGCCCACCCTACACGACACCCTATTCTACATTCGTAGCGCGTTGGTGTGCTACAAGGGAGTCACCGTAGTCACAGAGACGGAGTACATTGGTAGTGTGGTGCATTGACCGGAGCACTGCGAAGACAACCGGACATCCAGGCCTTGACTCAGACCAACGCTTGTGGGATAGGAGGCGAGCAGCGCCGTCACACACTGACTGGGCACACTGGCACACTGGCACACTGGCACACTCGCGTACAAAGCGAGTGCACGCACATGCGACTCTTGGATGTAACCACGGCGATGAGATCACGCTGCAACCCGCTCTAGACCACCTCACACTTACACAACACCCACCCACACCCCCTTCCCTTTCACTTATATATATCAAGTCACTGGCCCCCTCGGCAGCCCTCCGTCGCGGCCTGACTCATGCATTGCCCTGCCTTGCTGAATACTGGAATAATAAGCAGCAAAATTCGATACGCTCTACCACACACACGTCTGACTGCGGCGCTGTAAACCTGCATACGCGCCGATCCATAAAAAGAAAGCTGACGACCCCCAAAAAATCCTTCCGCTTGGAAATCTCGGGTCGCCCTGGCATTTATATCCACCATCGAACCCCGGCCCACAACAACAGACAAAGAAGCAACACAGCTCTGCGCCAGTTCACAGAAAAATCTCACTGGGCATCGAATCAGCACCTCAGGCTAAGCCGGGAACGTCCACAATATCTATTCACACATACAACAATGGCACTATCACAGCGTCTCCAAAGAACCAGCCGCCGCTCCACCATGGCAAAGGCCTCCTTCAGTGACGACGAGGACGCAATCACCCCCTGCTCGTCCCCACCGCCCGAGCCCCAGCAGCAGCCGCTCGTGCTGGAGTCATGTTCCAAGGCGAAGGCCAGCCCGCGCCACTCCATCATCGCGGCCGACGTCTCCTCGTCACGCAAGACCTCATCCTCCACGCGCACGTGGCACCTCGACCCGGCCGCCGGCGAGGACCTGGACGATGCCCGCCTGTGGCGCCGCATGCTCGACATCCAGCGCGAGTTCCACTGCTACAACAGCGCGCGCATGGCGGCTGCGCTGCTGGAGCTGGAGATGGGAGTCGACGTCGGCAGATATGCTCGTGAGTAGTGCCCCCCCCCGCCATCCCCTCCTCCTTTGTTGCCAGGTCAGGGTTTTCAGTTGCTGACTCTGTCGTCTGTAGCACCCCGGGCCTGTCTTGAACTCCTGAACGACAGCGTGTCAGACCTGCCCGAGGAGGACAAGGAGAGGCTTGTCGAGTGGCTGCACGAGAACTCGACGAAGCGGAAGAGGAGCACCAAGTGGAAGCGCGCATCCGTCTTCTGAGTGGCTCGCTTCTCCTGGCTGGGGCGTGCACGCAGCACGAGCCCGCGAGACGCGTCACACTTGTCTTTCCATCATCCTCATAGACCCGGTTTCACAGACCGGGATGCATTCACGGCGCGGGGCCCTGGCGTTTGGAATTGTTTGTGCCGGGAAGGTAGGCCATCGGCGGCGAGGTTTCGCACAGATTGAGCTGCATCTTTTCAGGCGGGATGAGCGGCGGGGGAGCGCATACGATATCGATACCCATTTCTTACTTCAATTCGGACTCTTTGTTTCGTCAGGTGGTGTCTGGTCTGACAGACCCGAAGGCACGGCGGGGCTGGGGTCAAAGGACATAGATTGAAGGGCAATGTGAAAATTGCAACCAAAAATCATGAAGCCACATCCACGTGCCCATGCTTCCCTGCTATCTTCCCAAGTTTTTGTTGTGGGTGCCCTCGCTTGATACGACTAATTGAGATGCTGCTCCCTTATCCAAACACATCTCTAGGAACATGCATTGCTCATTTCTCATGAACAAACGACACCTACCTAGGCAATTACCGGCCAGGCGAGGACTCGTCATCCCAGAAGAGATAAAGCTAATTTTCGCCATGAAATTGAAAAGGTGTCCTGGCCGACGCACCTGCAAGCCCTTTTCTGCCATCAAAACCGAGTTTCCCAGGATCACCATAACAGCGCCACCGCATGGCTGCTGCGAAGAGGCGCTGAGTATCCTTTCGGCTTGGAACCATGGGTGCTACACATATTTTTCTCTCCTGCAATATGTCTGAGTCGAATGTGTCCCAAGTTGGGAGCGACTTCCACTCTTTTAGGTATCAAAATTTTGGTTTACATACGTCCGCGGACATACATGGCGCCTTCACATGATGGTAAACGCTCACTCAGCGTTTACCACTTCATGAAGGCGCCACAAACATTTTATATGTATGGGGATTAAAAATGAAACCACCTGAGCGTTTAAAAAGACATACGGTATTCATAACAGTGGTTAAAATACGATCATGGGTGAGATAAACTCATGCAATTGGACAACCAAATGCGTAGTCGGAAGCCTGAGTATCACTGTAGAAAGTTACTGGATCGGCTATAACTTTACTACTGGCCTTGAAATTCCCATAGAAAGGTCACGAAAACCACGATTCACGCTAATCGGAAACAAGTCTGCGAGGGACAGTGTTCCATGGTTATGGTCACGCTCTTCTAAGTTCGGGCAAGGTACCTAGGTAAGTAGTTGGGGAGAAAAGCTTTCGGGAATCAGTCCGATCCATGGCAACGAAAACAGCGTTGCAGCTATGATATGAATAGGAGCCAAGTCCCATAAACTCGGGCAGAGTACAATTCAACAGCAGCTCCCAATGCACCCTTTGCAGTCTCCACCAGCAGTGACAAGGACAAAATTATCATATTGTAGTTACAACGAAAGGTCACCCTGACCTTGGCTATCCCACATTCATCCTAGCCATTAAGGGAAATATCAGGTTGACTGGTTCAGAGACTGGAACATGCGCCGGTGCCGAGTGTCTAAGGAATACTAACACCCGTGGCTTGACCAGATCCACACTGTCCTGATACCCTTCCGCCTCCCGGTCCATGTGTCGAAATCGAAGGGCCGGCGCAAGTGCACACAGCGGCCTCATCAGGCCGCGGAGATCCTGGGCGCTTGTGCGGTCCGCGATGGTCTCCACGGGCGTTCTGGCCATCTTGGCCCATCTGGTGCCGCACCCCGTCAGCGCGAAATCCCTGGCGTTGGCGAAGAAACCGCCTGCTTTCTCATCTATGAGCCCATGTATCTTGATTTCCCAGACGTCGTCTGCTTCGATCATGATGTGCTCGTTGAGCCGGACCGCGGCGGTGACGATGCTTTCCACCAGTTGCGTCCGTAGGGGGCCGGGTATCAGGCTCGCGAACTCGGTGAAGGCGCGTTGGATCTCTAGGCTTGTCTGCTGGATCCCATTCTGTCGGCTCTGCTGGACCCAGTCTAATTCAGCTGTTCTGAACATGGCGGCCAGCGCCTGTCTTCGCCACAGGCGCCTGACGTATTCCTCTGCATCCAAGGGTCAGCCATCGAACCTCACAATGCTCAGTCTTATCACGTATTGTTGCTCACTGAATACAGGCGGATCGGCCAGCTTCATAATATCGACTATCTGGTCTACGTGCCTCATATATTGTGCAGGGTTCTGGTTACCGCCTGCATAAAATGATGCGGCGGCCCCTTCTTTGAAGACCCTCTCGTACAGATGTCTCCAGATATATGCGGTCCAGATGTCCTTCAGTTCGGTGTAAGGATTTGAAGCAGCGGCCCTAAATTCAGAATCATAGCTTATCAATTGTCGAAAGTATCCAAAGGCTTTTGGTTGGTTCAAAGACGCTGTGATCCCGTCCTTGTGCTGCGTGTTCTCATCGAAGGCTTTGAACATCGGCTGAAGGAACGCTTCAATGCTGGCGCCTATTTCGGCATATAGCTGCCTATAGTTAAGCACTCGTTCAATACCGTGATGCCTCTATCATCATACCTGTCGGACCTCTTCAGGTGGCACTGTTCCTATTTGTTGTACTCCGTGTATCATGTTCACTGACTTGGCCAACACATCCATTATCTCGGTCCGTTCCGCCAAGTCGGCCCTGAGAATGACATTTTCATTAATGAGATCCTCGATGCGCTTCGCCGGGTCTGCGTCATCAAAAGAAACATTTCCGTGGCCGGCCATTTCAACCGATCCAGTAAGACTCGATCGTGTTGATTTACAGGAATGGAATGTGTGATGCAGCAGGGTTGTTCCGGCCCCTCCGCAAACCCATAGATAATTGCCAGGACGCCGCTTTATGGCCGTCGAGGCACATCCGCTTTCAGCTGTGAGGAAGCAGCCCGCGGCTGAAGAAATAGATATTTCGGGAATCAGACAAAGACCCGCACTGGGTCTTGCCCCAGTCCGGAAGCATTGTCATTCATCACAAATCGCCAGCATGGTTTCAGCACCGCACGGAAAACGAGTCGACAGATCAATATATGTGAGTATTGATATGTGTGCACTGATGGATTGTTTTATAAAACCCAGCAGAGACAATCCTGGCTCGAACCAAACAGGACCTAGACAGCATTTGGGCGATGCATCTCCGAGTCCATCGATCAACGTCTAGCTGATTCGGAATTTAAAGTCATGCAATGACATGTAGCGTATCTGTATTGCAGCTATGCACAAGACTAAGCATGCAGTTGACCCGAGTTGGCATGTGTCTTAAAACAACATTTGAAGCCCTGGTACGCAAATAGAACTTGTGGCGTTTCGAAGTATTTGAAGTGCGGTTCTATAGCGGTAACAATGCATGTATAGTCACGATGGACTCATGATGGTGTTCCTTTTAAACAATAAAAGCGCCAGTCTATGACTGTTAATACCGCGTCAGCCGGTCCAAGCACAATGAAGCGATGGTACCTACCGATGTATAATATCTACTATACAACTATCGTGTTATAACTATAGTTATCGACATCGTGTCCTTTTCAAGCGCTGGGTCTTCGAGCGCTTACCACCGTATGAAGGCGCCATGTACTAGTATGTCCTCGGACGTATACGGAATAGAAGCGAAACCACTTACAATACAACAAGCTGTGTAACCCTGCCAGATCAGGCACTCAAGATAGTTTCTGGGCCAGAGCCCAAACCAATCAAACCACCAAAAAATAAAAGGGGTCTCAAAGCCCGAGACTTAAACAGCACAGACGAAATCGGCAATTATCTGAGCCTACGTCACCGACGTCAGCACGTTTCCTGGACAGCCAAGGTTACGCAGTCACCATCATCATCATCATCATCATCATATGTATGTTTCAATCGATCAGCAGCCACAACCAAAGCCCAGGTCCCTACCTACCCCGGGGTACTACTTGGCGATCATGACAGAAGCAACAGCACAGACAGGCACGCACGCACACACGCACGCGCGAAAGCCCGCTGATGACATGGTGGCTGAGACCGCGTCCCGACAGTCAGGGTCTGCCCAGCCCGAGCTCCCGGCTCAGTCTTTTACCGCAGCGGCCGGGCGCCAGCGGGGGCAAGAGAGTCCCTGTGCGCTTGTTTGCTTGCTGTTGGGCTCTTGCGCCAGGCACCGAACGCATGCTGTCATTCCCCAGCGTTAAGACAAGCAGATCTTATTAGGAAGGTTTAATTCTGCTGCTGTGCTGGTAAGCCCTGTAAAACACCAAGGCTCACCGGCCGTGGCTACGTCATGGTCCTCCTCGGCGACTGGCAAGACGCGCGCGCTCGTGCATTCATTCATGCTCAACAAGGCAAAGCGGACGAAGCTTCACGGGCGCACTAGAAGCACACAGGCCCGGGCCCGAGCAGGAATAAGAAGGAACAAGCCGATGCGTTCAAGCGACTGCGGGAGCCCGGCTGGCTTCTCCAATCCCACTGATGTGGTACAAAGATGCCCCGATCCAGGGTCCGGACCTAAGGGGCCCAAGCAGCCCAGCCCTGTCCGTCCGTACTTAAGTAGGCAGTTGGGTGAACTGGAAGGGTGGTGGTCGGGTGTTCCGGTTCTGTTCTGGCCCCCATCGAGCCCAACTAGATTAATACCCAACCAACCCCACGGCCTGCCATTTGCCATTCCCACCGATTGACAGATGAGCCGCAGCGGCAGACAAGAGCCGGATCAACAACCAAAGCAACCCCAGCCCAGTCCGCAAGCGTCCGAACACATCATGTGCGTAATAATATACTTGGTATGTACCAATCCCGGCCTCTATAGCAACACCAACTAACCACCCGGGCCCAGCTAGATAAATTACCTTGTACCTACCTACTCTATTTGACTAAACCCAACCCAACACAAAACCGCCCCAAAAATAAAAAAAGGGCAACGGGCTTGGCCGGGCCCTCAGGAACCCGCACCCCGAGAAGGGCATAAGGTGCCTCCTAGGGTGAAACAAAAGACGGGTCAGGGCAGGACAGGACAGGACAGGACAGGGCGAGGGGATAAAGAAACAAGAACGGGCGCGCGCGTCCGTCCCTTCCCTTCCCTTCTAGTAGAGCGATGGAGCCAGCCCAGCCCAGCCCAGCCCCCTTGGCCAGGGCAATCTATCCATCCACCTGTCATCTGGTCTTTCTCTGCCTTGCCTAAGCGCGATGCACCCTCACATGTTTGTAGGACTGGGCTCCCCCAGGGGCTGAGACGGGACGGATGTCAGGCTTTTATATACATATATATATACATATACACACTTACCACGACCACTATCACTATCAGGGGGGTTAATAAACAGGTGCTCGTTCGTCCGTTCTTTCGTCCTGCCGCGGCACGGCAGGGGGTGCTGGCGCCAGGGAGTAATTATTTCGGGGTTTTCTAAATCCTAAATGTGCGTTCTAGAGTACATATCTTCTTAATATCTATATAGTTAAGGCTTACCTAATTAAATTAGAGTAAATAATCTTAACTTAATAAATAAAGGTAGTTCCTTATCTTCTTTCTATTTAATAAAAGAATTTTACGTAATTAAAGGTTTTATATAAATATAATTTATATTATAATAAAGTAATTATATAATAGTTATATATTTATATATTTATTTATTTATTAAATATATTAAATATTAAATTATATATAGTTTTAATAGTTTAAAATATTATTTTAATTTAAAAACTAATTTTAATCTTTTAACTCTCTTTTTTATTAATTATATTTATTTATCTAATATTTTCTTATTAAAATAAAATCTTTATTAAATAATATATATATAAATTATATCTTCTTATTAAAATAAACCTTTAAGGCTATCTAATATTCTTATAATTTTAAATATTAACTTCCTTTATATAAATTAATATTTATAAAAGAATTTATAAAAGATTTATAATTAATTATATTATTATTTTAATTAATAAATAATAAAAGCTTTTAAATTTTTGTATTAAATATTTAAATATATAATTTAATATAAATATAATTAATAATTAAAAGTTTTTTATAATTAATTAATTTAAATATAAGTATTTTTATTAATAAGTTCTCTTAAAAGGGTATAATAAATATATTAAATTAATTTATTTAACTAATAAATACTTAACGTAAAGGAAAGTTAAAAGATTTTAAATAATTAATAATATTATTTCTAATAAATTAAATAAAATTAATTTTATACTTATAAACTTTTAAATTAAATATTTATTATAATATTATAATAAATTATACTCTTTTAAAATAATAAATATATTTATATTATTTAATAATATAATATTATTAAATATTCTTTTAATTTAAAATTTATAATAAAAAGTATTTTAAAAAAATAAAATTTAAATAAAAGAATTATTAAAAATATTAATAAAATAATTATTAGTTTATAAAATTTATAATTATTTATAAAATATATAAAAATAAAAAATTAATATATAAATATAAATAAACTAAATAAAAAGATCCTTAAGTTTTATATTAATATAACTATTATAAAATAATAAATAATTAAAAATTACTATATAAAGTATTAAATAAAAATTAAATTATTAATATAAAAATATTTCTAAAAATAAAGAGATTAATTTATATATTATATACTTATAAAAGAAAGAAAATACCTTTTATATATTAATCTTCCTTTAAAAAAGATAAAAAGTTATAAATAAAATTATATATTAATAAACTATAAAATAATATTTCTTTTAATATTATATATTATATTAATTAAAAGTAATAGCTTTTTTATACTACTTTATTATAATAATTATAAATAATAATATTTTAATATATACTTTTATTAAATAATTAAAAATATATATTATTATAATTTATTTAAAATAATTAATTAAATATATATTATTATAAATATTAAAGTATATTATTATAAATAATTTAATAATTAAATAAAAGATTTTTAAATTTTAAATAAAAACTTTAATATAAAAGTAAAATTATAGCTTTATTAAAAGTATTAAAAGTTATTAATTTATTATATCTTTAAAGAAAAGAATATAAAAGATATAAAGTTTAATTAACTTTATTTTATTTTCTATAAAATTAAAAATAAGATTATTAAATTATATTATAAGGTTATAATAATAATTCTTTAAGAACTTTAATTTTATTATATTTAAAAGTAGATTAAAAAAGCTATTTAATAATAATAATATTTATTAAATTAAATAAATATAACTAAATATTTCTATATTTATTTAAATAATAATAATCTTATTTAAATAATAATAATCTTTTCTTTTAAAAGTTTTTATAATAATTTTAAGGTTAATAAAATTAAAAATAATATATAGTTATATTTTTTTATAAAATTTATAAATATATATTAGTTATAAATTTTTAATAATAAAAAAGTTAATAAATTTATAATAAAATTAAATATTTTATTTTATTTATAATAATAAAACTTTAATTTTTAACTATTTTTAAATTTTTATAGTTATTAATTATAAAATAATTATATTAAATATATAAAAATAAAAATTCTATTATAAAGTAAAGTTTTTATATTTAAAGTTATTAAAAATTATATATTTATTTATTTTTCTATAAGTATTAACTTCTTTATATATATTTATAAAGGTATATCTTTTAATAATAAAAGCTTTTAAAAATAATTAAATAGTTAATTAAAAAATTATTAATTATAAAAATAACTTAAATATATTAATAAATAATTAAATTTATTAAAAATATATTATAAAAAAGATAATATATAAAATTTATATTAATAAGTTTATTTTATTATCTATTTTTTATAAAATAATCTATTAACTATTTATTTTATTAAAATATATAATATTAATTTATATATTTTATAAAGTTTATTATAATATAAAAGAGTTTTTAAATTTATTAAATAGTTATAAAAATATTTTTATTATATTATTAATTATTTAAATTAACTTTTAATAAATATAAATAAATTTTTATATTAATAAATATATTAAGTAATATAATAATTTATAAAGTAAATATATTTAACTTAATATAATTATTATTTAAAAATTATATATATAATTCTTTTAAAAATAAAAATATTAAATATAATACTAATAACTTTATTTAATAAGTTAAAAGAATTATTTAATATATTAATTCTTTTATTATTAATAAAATATATAAATTAATAAGTTTTTATAAAAGTAATTATTTAATAAATTATTTATAGTTAATAAGGTTAATAATAAAACTAATAGTAAGTATTTTTATATATTTATTTTATTTAATATTTAAAAACTTAAAAAACTTTATAGTTTATTTTTATTAAATTATAATAATTTTATAAAAGACTTTTAATAACCTTTATAAAGACTTTTATTAAAATAATTAACTAATTATATTAAAGAATTACTTATACTTAATAGAATTTTATTAAAAATAAGGAATTTAAGTTTAATAAAACTACCTTAAAAGTATTAATTAGTTTAATATAAACTATTATATTTTAAGTAATAAGAATTTTTATAAAAAATAGTAAATAAGTATATTAAGGATTTTTAATTTAAGTATATTATTTATAAATTTCTTATATAGATAGTTTATAAGGATTATCTTATATTAAGATATAACTAACCTATTTAAGAAGTAGGCTAACGGGAAGGGGCAGAAGGGGGGACCCATCGGGGATATAGAGAAGACCAATTATTTCTCCTTGGTCTGCGGGAACGCGTCCGGCTAGGTCGATCTTCATCCCCAACCACCCACGGGGTCTCTTTTTGTATCGCGGGGCTGCGCCAATCAATCAACTGCTAGACTACTTAGCTCTTGGTCCGGTTTCTCCCGCCCGGTCCGTTATTTGGGGGGGTCGGTCCTTCGATTTTGTTGTGAAGTCTTTTTTGAGACTCGTGGCTGGGCTGGGCTGGGCTGGGCTGGCTGGCTGGCGGCGTTTATTAGGGAGGGAAGGTCTCCAAAGCCTGAGGCTGGTAATGAGAGACACCGGCTTTTGCTGATCGGCGGAAGCAGCCGAGGTGTGATCTAGACAGCACCTGCATGGTGAGATGGTTGATTCAAACGGTGGGGATTTCAGACTGTCAAAAGGGTTTTTGTTTGTTTGTACATTGTGTCCATTCTGATTATCTATAATCACTACCAAATAATACCGCTAGGTCCAATCTCGAGAGTACCCCTGTATGCACCTAAACACGTAATGCACCTGACCAGCCAAAGTTGTCCTCATGACCAAAGAGAGAATCCCGGGGACCCAGTCCCGAACCGGGAAACAGTTTAGAAACCCAACAGACAGCTCGCTCCAAGAAAACCCAAGACAAAGACGTAGCCGCGGGTTACAGCAGGCCAGGATATCGTCGCGCAGATGACCTTGAAAAAAAAAGAAGAATCAACCCAAGAAACAACCAGCGCAGGGTAGGTCAATCAATCAATCTGGCTTGGCCCCCCGTGACGAGACAGTGCATCAGAGACAACAAAGCCAAGCAGGCAAGCATCTGAGACATGCAGTATGCAGCGACCGGCGGACCGATCGAAAAGCAAAAAAAAGATGATGAGACAGCAGATAGCGTCGCGCCGAAAAGCAAAAAGGCCAAGCTCGCTCATGAACAAAAAAATAAATTGTGGCGCCCGTCTCCCCGTATTCAAGCCGGGGTGTCGAATCGAATGAACCAAAAACAACAAACTCCGTGCAGTATGCATGCATGTAGGTAGGCAGGCGGGCAGGCCAGATTTGGATGCGGCACGCCGCATGACAAGAGGCGGGAAGGGCTGGTTCATTGTTGTGTTTGTGTTGAGGGCCCTCTGACCTGCCGCGGGTGCCTTTCCCTCCCACTGGTGGATGAATGGGTGTCCGTACTTGTACAGAGGCGGTGGTGGTGATGTTGGTGGTGAGGATGAGATTGGGGTGGGTGGGTGGGTTCCCCGTTCCGTGTCTAGAGGTCTATGCGTCTATGCTTTGTATAGGACATCTGGAGATCTATTCGTGTCGTATTGATCTATGTCGTGCCCCCCTTCCGCTCTCTGTGCGTTGTTTCGAGACAGAGGACTGGGGGGGTTGGATCTATCGGTGTGAGACGGGCAGCAGGTAGATATCTCTCCCGCCACCCGAGATGCAGGTTCTCCTTCCCCGGATGCTTGAAAGTCTCCTCTCTCCATGTCCTCTCGCGCCACATGTCCGTGTACAGCCCAGCCTCCCTCCCAATGTGTACACGGGCGCCAGTCTTCGAAAACCTGGCTTGGTCTGGCGGAGGAGGCGTTGTCGAGGAGGGGAGCTGACGTGGTTCCGGGCGGCGTTCGACGTCAGGGGGAGGGGCCCTGGCTGGCCTCTCGCATATGTTGGTCCAAGGGATGAGAGAGGGGGGAGGGGGGCAAGCAGCAGCAGCAGGGCTTGCTTGCGTGGTGGTTGTTCCCGCCCCGCCAAGCCCGTCGTGCAGCGACTGTGGCGTCCGCCGGGGACGAACGGGGCTGCATGTGCGTGTGCGTGTGCGTGTGCGTACGCAAGTGCACATCCCGCAGCAGTCAGTCAGTCAGTCAGTCAGTCACCCACGCGTAACATTAGACTGCTGCGCCGGAATCCGGTGATGCGTGTCCTGACTGTGGTGGCTTGCACTCCACCACCACACGAGGTTGCAGGGTAACACGTCCGCCTTGCCCGCTCACTTCTTCTTGTCGCTCTTCTTGTGGTGGTGCTTGTGGCCGTGGCCGTGGCCGTGCTTGCTGTGGTGGTGGCTGCTGCTGCTCGTGTGGCCGTGGTGCCCAGACGTGGACGAGGCCGAGGCGGCGGGCTCGTAGTGGTGGGCGCGCTGGCGGGTGCGGCCGCGGTGCTCGTCCGAGTCGAAGCTGGAGCTGCTGTAGCGGCGCAGGTCCTCCTCGTGCCAGTCGGACAGGGGCTTGCCGCCAAAGGTGAGCTCGTCGTCCTCGATGGGGATGACCTTCATCCAGGTGGCGGCCTGGGGCGGGGCGTCGTAGTAGTAGTAGGCGTGCTGGTATGGGGACGAGGCCGTCGACGAGTAGGCGCTGCCTCGTGATGACTGTTGGGAAGACATTGTGGATGTGGTTGTGGTGTTGTGGGTGGTGGTGTTGTTGTTGTGGTGGTGGTGGTGATAGTCGAGCTCGGGTGGTGTTGGTGGGAGCGACGAGGTCGAAGGGTCCAGGTCGGCGGACGAGTTGGAGATGGAGGTGGAGGTGGGAGGAGGAGGAGGAGGACGGGGTGGGAGGAGGTGTTTATTATTATGATATCTGGTTGTGTTGGTGTTGGTTGTGGTTGTGGTGCTGACTGCTGCAGGTGCAGGAGGCAGCGGTTTTGTTATTGTGGCTTCGCCGAGGCAGGGCAGGGTGGAAGGCCTTTTTTCAGGTCGGGTGGAGCCTGGCTGATGGCTGAAGGATCGCGACGTATCGGGCGAGGTGGAGCACCGAGGGGGTGGAGGGGGAGGGGGAGGGGGTGCGAGTGGGGGGTGCCCTGTGGGGTTGGGGTGTGGGTACGGGTACGGGTACGGGGGGTACGGAGGCAGGGGGTCTGGTGCAGTTGATGCGCTAGTGGGTGCGGCTGCTGCAGCACATGCGCCTCCTTCTGCCAGCTGCTGCTGCTTCTGGTCTTTGTTGCTGTTGCTGCTGCTGTTGTGCGAGCCGGTGTCACACATGCAGCAATGATCCACCGAGATCAGAGACCCGAGATCAGATCAGATGTGTGTGTGTGAGTGGGTGCGTGTGTCGAAACAGGTTCGAGAGGGAGGAGATATGCAGGCAGCAGACTTGGATACTGCGGCAAGGTGGACGATGGACAGGACAGGTGACTTGTGACTTGACTCTTGACGCGTCGAAATCAAGAAATCAAGGAAAAGGAGGGTGTGTGTGGGTGTGGTTGGGAGGTCGAGATGGCAGATGGCATATAATAAGCCAAGAGGGAGAGTGGCCACAGGTGAGACAGGCCCCTTTGATTCAAGAATCAAGATCCCAGGTCGAATAAGGACTAATAAGCGGGAGGCTGGGGGGCGATGCTGGGGGCCCTTGGGCACAGGTCAAGGGCACTCCTGGATTGTCTCGGTTTGGTTGCAGCCGACCCGACAAGGAGGCTCAGGCTTCTCTCTTTTTCCCAAACGCGTCGCGGTCCGTGTGTCTGTATCTGTATATGTAAGTATGTATGTATGTATCCGTACGTGGGGAAACAAACTGACAGGACAGGCGGGATTTGCTTGCTGCCCGCCACGAGGAGGAGGCGTGTGTGCACTGACTGCGGGCTTGCAGCGTCTGCCTGCTGTGGGTGTCCCGATGCGGATGCTCGACTGCAGCTGCGCGATTGTGAGCCAGGCCGTGATAGGACGCCGTCGCGGGGTCCAAGTCAGAGACAGATGTCGATCCGAGGGGGGATGCCAATGTGTGTCTGAGCTCAAGGTCACTTCGACCGGAGGACTAGCCCGAACCTGGAAGCCGGTTATGTGCGTGATTGTTTGTTGTTTGTTCCGAGGTTGTTATATCCAACCTGAGTTATCGTCGGCCGAGACAAGCAGGTCGAGGTCGAGGTCGCTTGACAGACGGGTAGGCGCCGGTTGAGACAGGTCGATGCACTGCAATATAATGCGAATGCGATGGGGTGTGACAGGGTCTCCGATCCAACTTCGCGGGGTGCAGACGGATGGGATGCAGCTGTGCAGCGCGGCGCGCTATTAAAAGCCTCACGATGTGGGCTTGCCTTCCAAGATTGTCCGTCCCTATTCCGTTTTCCCTTCGCGCTCCTCTCTTGGCAGCTGACCCTGGGCGACCAGGGAGGGTGGCTCCAAGCTTGTTGGTGGACGAGACGAGGGAAATCTCGGTGAATTCCCACGACTTAATGCGCCGCTACCGACTATATTGCTGCTGACACGAGTTGCCCAAAACGGAAACACACCAGAAATGAGCTGGCGGATTGGTTGATGCGGTCTAGAATTCGGGCCGGGTCGGGCTTTGGGCAAGCTTGTCCTGTGTGCTGCGCTGCGCTGTGCTTTGTTGTTGGGTGTGTGAGCGACAAAGCAACGAATCGGTTCGGCGGCTGATGCACTTGTTGGGAGTGCGATCTGACAAGGTAAATAATTGTTTCTTCCGAGTTGTTGATTGAGTGGTGATCGATTGATTGTTTGTGGAAGAGGTGGGGGCGGTAACAGGCTATGTAGGTATGTATGTGGGTACGTGGTATCAGGGTATCAAGTGGAACAAGAGCACGAGGATGGAAATGCAGTCAAGTCAGAAACACACCGTGGCCTGCCGAGGTGAAGAGGGTATCAGGTCAAGGTATCTTGATGTGGATATTGGAAATAGTAAAACCACACCAAGCACCGTGAAGGGGGCGGCGGGGCCGACGAGTTGTTTTTATACAGGACCCCCAAGGACTCGTCCACGTACGAGTACCGCGTGCACACAAAAAGGCGCAAATCAGAGAGGGCAACGACACGGTGACGGTAGATGATGCGGATTGCAATGTCCTCTTGGCAGGCGACGGCGGGTGCGAGGATGTGACTTGTTGAGCCCCGTCGGCAACTGATTCAATATCATGCATCCAGCGGACTTGCCTCGTCCGGGTTTGTACAGTATCTGCAAAAGGTGTGATGCCGGTGCGTCCTTTTGACGGACTACGAGCGAGTGAGTGAGTCGCCGGGCTCTAAGCTGCCGCTGCCGTGCTGCTGCTGCTGGCGTTGCCGCGAGAGTGTTGTACGTGTACGTACCGATGTAGAAAAGATACAAACACGTAGGAAATACCACGGTACGGTACTGTACTATAGTATCTCTGGCCCGGCTGAGAGCGCTGGGGCCGGGTCTGGGCCTGGACAAGTCACAAGTTCCAGGCAGCCCGCCGGGTGAGCGTTTGACTTGCGGCTCTCGAGCTGATAGGCCTGGGACCGATGCGCCGGTGTCAGATGCCAGGTGCCAGGTGCTGCTGCTGCTGCTCCCTGCTGCCGCCTTCTTGTCTGTGTTGCCTGCCCGCGGTCGTGCGTTCGTTCGGTTCCTAAACTCGCAGGGCCCCAGGGGCGGTTGGTTGGTTGATGGAGGGGGGCAAAACGTATTGATTTTGACTGCTATATTGGGGCAAGGTTTGGGTCGCAGAGATGTCACGGTACAAGAGCGTTGCTCGACGGGCCACCTGAAGCAAGCAGCCAGCAGCCTTCTTGGCTCGCGAGTCGCGTCGTCCCTCTGCGTCGGAGGATCGTTTGTTTTTGCTTTTTCCTAGCTATCTTGCACCCAACGATGCCGGCCCGAACAACTCGACGGCGGCGGGTGTGACACCTGGAGGCGAAGAAGCCGGCGCTACCCTTGGGTTTGCTAAATGATTTTGGTATTGTAGAGTGATGGAATTATGATAGATCCGTGATGACCTGGTACGGTACTAGCCAGCTAAGCGGATGCGAGGAACTAATCAGTGGGGTCGTGGCAGGTTACGCCTCCTGACAGATGGTGATCGTGGGTGGTTTTAGTCTGTCAGACTGGTGAGGCGAAACTAGAAGGACGAATTGTTCTTCTACACGGTTCAAATGGCCAGCGACGAGTATCGTTGGGCCGTTGAGAATCGTTGGGCCGAATGATACATATATGTGTATATGTGTATATGTGTATATGTGTGGTAGATAGCCTGCTACTCATCCCTGCAGCCACGCAGAGAAACACCGAGAATGATGTCCTGTTTCTCTCATCCTGACTCGGACCTGTCGGGTGTGAGGGCATCACGCTTTCGGTATCTCAGGTGGGAAACAATCAGGGGTACAAGTTGCCAGCACCTGGTTTTTGAGGGAACGATGACGCTATCAGGACGTCCTACCAAGCCTACGTAACGGGCCATTGCCCACTGGGGCAGTAGCCCGGGGCCCGGTGGACATTAGATGGATATTAGAGTTGACGGGCAGGGCTGTCAGGCCCAGGGCAGCCGAGGCAGAACCTGCCAGACTGGGCCCGCCTCCTCTTGGTTTCGCCGCCCGGGTCTCTCGGCAGGGGGCGCTGCCTCCCCTTTGCCGTGCCGCGGGTGCCAGGCTTTCCCCAGATTCCGGTATCCCTACGGATCGGATTCTGGAGTGCGATCTTTCCTGCTGCGCCAGCATCGGATCGCGTCATCTCTTCTTTGTGTTCCCGGGAGGCCTTGCATGCAGGTAACAATTAACCTTCATGTCTCGTCCTGTCCTGCCAGAGACTAAATCGAAAGAGCCCACCGGCATTCGGGGCTCGACAAAGTCCACGGGGATCTAAACCTGGGGCCAAGAGCGCAACCCTTGGAACCGAAACATCATGTGAAGCGATCATGACCCGGCCGTGGTACTGATCATCAGAGACAGGCCCATCGCATCTGGGTTGGCGCTGACTGTGCAGCCGTCAGCCCTTTTCCAGTGGAGGCAACGATCACTCCTTATTATTATAACAAGGTCGCATCGCAGTCTGGCTGTCTGGCCCTCAATGGCACGCCCGCCCTGCACCTCCAGCAAACAGGAGGCCGCAGCTGCCAGACCCCGGGGGCTGGCAGAATAACCCTATGCCAGCAGCTCTGTGTGAGGGTTATGTACAGTATTTGTGAGGGATCACCCGGATAGTCGCCCTCTCTGGTACGCCAGATCGACGGTGCAACCGCTGTCTGTACCGAGGCGGCGGTGTGGCGTGGCGGGTCCTGGGGGCTGTATGACGACTTTTTTTGCCTGCAGCCGTGCTGGGCTTACCGCAGGTGGGAGCGTATCCTACGTCTCCGTACTATTCACATAGTCTAAGCTATATGCGTCCGCGTACAAGCCCTGGAGTGCCAGCGTAGCGTATCCATGCGCCCCCTGCATCTCCCTGCATTTGCGTCCCTGCCTGACGGCGGTGACGACATTTCTGGCCGCCCTCTGACTGCTCCCGCCTCATCTTGATAATCTTGATCCCGCTCTTTCTGTATTACCAGAGCAGACCTGGGCACTGGGCGGCTCGTGAGCCTCACTTCGCTTCATCAGAAAGCATGTGGGCTGGAGTGGGCTCCCCCGGGGAGGTAGGAAATAAGAAATAAGCCGTGATGATCTCGATTCCGATGCACGGCCGATTCGGAAGCATGTGACTCGGGCGTGATCCACTGACGGAGTGGCAGACGGTGAACATGGCGACGGCGACGTGGGCGGGACGGTCTACAGGTGTACTCTGCAGTAGCGTCCTCCTTTTCCTCTGCCTGAGCAGTATCCGTCCGTGTGTCGTGTCCACCCCATCGCATCGTGGGCGGCGGCGGTCAAGTGCAGACCGCCCCCAATGCCCGGCCAGCTTTGGGTAGCACTTCGCATATTGTGCACTCGCAGCTTCGTCGGAATGGTAAACTGGAACTGGCGTCGGACAAGATTGCTCAGCCCAGCCCAGGCTGCCTGCCTTATTTGTCCACGCTCAGCTCAGCCACCTCGCCCAACGGCAGCTGAGGCAGCTGGAAATAGCCTTGTTGCATGCTGTATCTATACCTGACCCCAGCCGCAGCGCTGGAATGCTGCCGCCGCCGCCGGACGGGCCTTTCGGCCGAGCGTTGTCAGGCCGTCAAGGCTGGGTAAGCAAGTAAGCTCCCGTCTTTTCCCTTAGTGGTATTCTGGGGCATCCGGGCATCAGCTTGGCGGCCACCTACAGCTAGGCGACCCTGAAACTGATTCACGTAGCCAGCTGGCTTATAGCCGCCAGTTCAGCCGTGAGGCATTTTGACAGGGTGCGTATGTAGTGTAGAAACGAGGTGACATTATGACTGCTCAGCTGCCCACGAGACAAGTACGAGCACGAGATGCACTCCGCTGGTTTGGGCGAACTCGGACGACACGCGCCTAGAGAACACGTCTCGAGAATACGCTTTGCAGAGATCAGCCGGACGGTAGCCGACGTTTGAGTTCCTGTTTCGGCAGTCATGCAGCTCGTGTCGGTGGACAAGCTGACACGAGTCGAGCTGAGGAGAGCAGCAGCAGCAGCATTCATTCATTCATTGCAGTTTTGCAAGACCGCGCGCCCAGGTACGCACATACATCCCATCCTGGCTGCCTGGGGAATCAATAAACCTTGAGCACTTGGGTCCCCAGTCAGTTCGCATAGACGTTTAGGCCCTCATTAAAGTACCGAGACAGATGATATGGGATGATGATGAGATGAGATGAGCTCAATGCCCCCTACTGTATGCACTAAACACTAAATTCGGGTGCAGCAGGGTGGATGATGACTCTCCCACGTGGTTTCAAGGTGCTTCCTCCCGACGCCTCGTCCTTTTGTTCCCCTTCCCAGCCCCCATCTCCACAAAAGAGCCTCAACTTAGAAACCCAATGCTGCGGTACGATCGGCCGACCCTCTTGTACAATAGCTTATTTTGTGCATCCACACACATGTAGGGCTGATTCACTGGCAAGACTGGCTGCTGCTCGGATCCTGTGGGAATCCTATTTCCTCACGTCAGATTTTAAACGGCCGTTCGCTCCGCTTGTCACGTCGCCTGCTGCCGCCACTGCTTTGTACGACCACACCCGCTGTCTCGCTCCCGCCCGGCCGGGCACACAAAGAGAGCAGAGCGCACGCACTATAAGCCTCCCGGTCCTTCCCAGGGTTACGGCCAACGTGGCTGACTGTTCTGTATCACGACCATTTGCTTACATTACGACGTTAAACTCTGGGACCGATGTGATATGTGAGAAGTGAGCTGGCCATGGCAACAAGTCGCGATCGGACGCAGGGATGCGCATCATTGAGGGCTGACCTCCCACCCGCCAGCCTCTCTTGCATCTTGTCAGCAGGCTCGCGGTGTATGTCCCCTATTTTCCCAAAGCGGTGTTGCGTGCAGCTTCTTCGCACCAGCGACAGTGAGTTGCGAGCTCTCCCGGGCGGCTGCACATGTCGTATACGGCGTGGTTTGCCCCCCGGCTCACCTCGATCCCGGATCCAGAGAGTGACCCCGTGACTCAGGTCAGCTGCAGCCCGCGAACCATCGTGCTCCATGCTTCCATGCTTCGTTCATGCCCTCGCTGCCGCCGCGCCCGCCGCCAAGGTGAATCACACTGGCATAGATAGGTAGGTTACCTAGCCAGAGGCCGGCGATGCTTCGGGGTAACCTCTATCCGTACATTCCAACGGTCTGGCCACTTTGGCGAGCTAGGCATTGCGCGTCGGGGTCTGTTCTCACGACAGCAACTCGGTGCACACCGCTTCGAAATTCCTTCTAGAATCCTTAGCGTCCCTCCCAGAGCAACCTTGGAACATTGCTGACACGCGGAGGATCGCCTGTGCAGCACCAAGCAGCGAGGTAAATCGACGTCGCCAAACTCTATCCCGCTGAGTCGGGGCTGGACCCCTTGGGGGCTGAACGTAGAAGGGAGGTGTCTGTCCCCCTATTACGATACATGTCTAGGTACGGAGCATGCAGACACTTACTCGTTCACACCCCCCATGGTCTCGCATCTTGTGCCTGGAGGACGAACCGCAGCCTGCATGAGCAGGCGAGGCGGGAACCCACTGATTCCGTGCTGCTGGACCACCCATAGCCGGGGCCCGGGCAGCCGTTTCGGCGGTGGC